TCCTGTGTCTGCTGTAACAAATTACCACAAACTTGGTGGTTCAAAACAACAGAAGTTTATTTTTTTTACAGTTCTGGAGACCAGACTATGAAACGAGTCTTAATGGGGTTAAAATCAAGTTTCAGCAGCACTGTTTGCCCTCCAGAGGCTCTGCGGGAGAATTCTTTCCTTTTTGCAGCTTCAGGCACCTGCTGACATTCTCGGCTGCATCACACTCCAGTGTGTCCTCCACCTTCACCATGACCAGAATTCTCCTCAGTGTGTCTGTCTAACCTCCCTCTGCCTTCCTCTTGTAAGCATATGTGCGATAGCAGGTAGGGCCCACCTGGGTCATTCAGGATAATCTCCTCAACACAAGATTCTTAATTATATCTGCACAATTTTACCATATAAGCCAACATTCACAGGAATTAGGACCTGATATCTTTGAGGGCCACCATTCAACTCACTTCAGGAAGATAAGGAACAAATTTTCATTTTCTCTTTTTCTGTGTGTGGGAAAGGTGAAACCTCTTTAGAATTGTCTTTTCACAAGTCCTGCTTGTCCCCAAAGAAGGCAGGCGTTAAGGCTGTTGTGAAATGAATGTTGCCATAAGGAATAAATTAACAGTGTGTTTTCTCTTCTTTAGATGGAACCATATTAAATACAATACCAATTTTGCATGTTTTTCTTGAGTATAATATGTTCGTTACCAGTCCTATTATTCTAGTTGCCCTAGTGTACATGTTAATTAAATTATTTTTAATGTAAAAATTCCTTTTTGGTTTAATTGTACATCACAAGATAAAAAATTTGAAAGTTTAAATTTTATCCATCATATCTATATAGACGTTAATTTTCACTTTTTTGAAGGAAAATATGAGATGCTGTTAGTGTGAGATATTTTAAGAAATTAAGATACAGAATGTTTTATATTATTCCCTATCTTTCTTTCCATGGTTGTATTTTTCTTTTGGCACTGTTATTCTGTTTACCCAATTCTTAGAAAGGATGTTTGTACAGATTTAAAATCTGAAAAATCCTAGAACAAGATTTCCTTAATTAAGAGCTTTATAATAGCTTGAGTTTTAATTTTGAGTTTATTATGCTTTATTTGATTTCACTCAGTTAAGTTAGAATAATAATGAATTGTAATTTTTTTTTTAAAGATTTTATTTATTTATTCATGAGAGAGAGAGAGAGAGAGAGAGAGAGGCAGAGGGAGAAGCAGGCTCCCAAGGAGCAGGGAGCCTGATGTGGGACTCGATCCCAGGACCCTGGGATCATGACCTGAGCCGAAGGCAGACGCTTAACCATCTGAGCCACCCAGGCGCCCCTAATTAATTGTAATTTTAAGTGGTGTTTATTAAGTAAATATATTAGCTCATCCAGAAAATAGTTTATTATTGCAAATTTAATTAAATTCCCTAGGGGACCTCATAATATTACTTGGTAATTTAACTAAATAATCTTTTTTTAGAGGGGAAAGAACATAAAGCCTCACACAATAATATGTAAGTTACTAAAATAATGTGTTCATAGTATTTAAATTATTTTATTAAAATCACTGTTATTAATACTGATATTTTGGCTTTTTTTATATTGTCAAGAAATAAATTGTACACTCATTTTATTTCTGTTTGGGGCTACAGTTATGCATCACATCAACAATTAGCTTGTCTGCTGATACAACAAATCAAGAATAGGATTATGATTTCTTTTACCTTGTACCTGAACAAATAGTAATTTTGATTTTTTTTTTTCCCATCACTGCTTTAAACATTCTTTGTATGGTTATCGTGCTTTCTCTTGACCATTATTTTCAGTCTTCTCTGCTTGCTTTTTTCCCCCTCGACTCAGCTTGTAAATATTGGCTGTCCTGATGGCCCATTCTTGAACTCTTTCCAACTCAGTACTCTGATGTAAGGTGATGTCTTCCATTTCTATGACTTTATAGTACTAACCATATTCCCACAACTTTCAATTTTATATATCCATCCCAGACCTCATGTCTGAGATCTATAATCATCTGACTGATCCCTCCATTGGCTCTCTTTCAGATATCTCACGTTATACAAATAGAAAATTGAATCTTTGATTCTAACCTCTGCTTCAAAAAACAAAATAAAACTCCCACCAGGAACAGCAACAAAAACAAAAATCTTGTTCTACCCCCACCTCTTTTATTAAATAGCCTCTTATCCCACGTAGACAGTCGCTTGCCCAGTCTCTAAGTACTAATATGAAAATATATTTCAAATTCTAATTTTCTTATCCTTATTCTTGCAACCTTAATTTAAGCTACCATCATCTATCTCTAGGACCACTGTATTATTTATGGGTCTATAATGCTAGCTATTATACAGAATAATGAACTGGGCATAATTTTTATTTTAGGATTTCAGATTAATTGTAAACAAGTAATTTTCAACTCCTAGGATTCTGAAGTTACAAGAGTAAGAGGTAAAACCCTAAATGTAAAAGAAACATCCTAAACTTAAAAAAAAATAATGATTTAATTTTTCCTCCTCAGTAGAACTGCATGATTCTTGGGTGTCCAGAGGAGGTAAGCCAGCATATTGAGAAACTTCTGTTTCAAGTTCAGATTTTGGTTGCTAGTAATTCTGTCTGTCCTTTTATTTAGTCATTTAGAATCTTATGGTGGTAGGAAGATGAATCCAAATTAATTCTCAAATAATCATAACTAATGTTTTCTTTTGCCTATTATAAAATTTTACATTAGGTGAGTGTGTGTTTTTTTAAATTTTTTATTGTTATGTTAATCACCATACATTACATCATTAGTTTTAGATGTAGTGTTCCATGATTCATTGTTTGTGCATAACACCCGGTGCTCCATGCAGAACATGCCCTCTTTAATACCCATCACCAGGCTAACCCATCCTCCCACCCCCTTCCCCTCTAGAACCCTCAGTTTGTTTTTCAGAGTCCATCGTCTCTCATGGTTCGAGGTGAGTGTGTGTTTATACACACACACACACACACAAACATATATTAATACATGTATATTAATATTCTGAATAGGGAATTTACTATATTGCTGAGTAAATAGGTCTCATCTCTCAGAGTGAGGAAGTTAAGCATTGGTAGGAGGCTGTTCTTAGGGCAGAACACATGCTGAATGATGTATGGTGGGTTAAGGTACACCATAGATGTTCTTCCTGACAGAGATAAATAATATTCTTATTTTTTAACCAAATAAGTATAATGAATTAATGTTAGCAAAGTATATTTCTAAAATGAGGTAGCAGTGGTTCTCAACAGGTTGTAGGGGGGTTTGAACCCCAGGGAACATTTTTTGGCTGCCATGATAAAGGGTTTTAATGGCATCTGGTGGGTAAATGCCAGGGATGCTGCTAAATATCCTATAGTACCCAGGATAGCCCCACACAACAAATCGTCATAGAGCCCAAAAGGTCAATAGTGCTTGTTAAGAAACTCTTTTAGGGGATTTTTTTTTTTTCAACCTGCCACATACTTGTCCTAAGTATTTTTCAAAATTTCATTTAACCTTTAAAAGAGGTGTAATGGTTATAATAATAATTCCATGACTTTATTTTTGTGAAAACTGGAATGGAAGTATATTTGTGTGTACTTGAAATAATTTAGGTGAGGAAGGAATCGAGAATGAATACCAGGTTTTTGGCTTGCATAGTTCAACAGGAGGATGTTGATGACATTATCTGAGATAAGAGAAACAGATGAGTGGAAGAAGATCTTCAGTTTAGATTTTAGAGAATTTGTACAGATTTTGTAGAATTTGAGGTGCCTGAGAGATATCAAGAGAAGTTCTGAAGATCAGAACATAGGTGTTCAGACATAGCTTTAATTTGAAATTTGTTGGCATATAAATATAATTTAACCTTGGGATTGGATGAAATCACCCACTAAAGTGTATATCTTAAGAAGGAGAGGGTACCTTGTCACAGCTCTTTGGAACGTCGACATTCACAATACAGGTAGGGGAAAATCTAGCAAGAGACTAAGAAGTAGCCAGAGAGATAATAAGTGATGCAGAAGTGTAATCTCCCAAGCCAAGAGAAGGGAAATGTTTCCAGGTAGATGAGTTGGTATTGATATGGAGGCTGTTGGTGACCTAGGTGGGCATGAAAGTGAATAGAAACCCCAATTACAGTGGGTTGAGAAGTCCATGGTAAGTAAGAAATTTAGTTGGGGGTTGTAGGTTTATGTAGGTTTGGCTGTGAAGGAGGAAGAGGTAGAGGGGGATGTGGGACCTGGGGAGGATTTTTTGTGTTTTTGAAAAGATCAGAGAGAATTCCTTATTGGTATTTTAAAAGATAAATTCTAAAGATATTGAAGCATATCAAGTACAATTTGTTAATAAACAAGGTTTAAATGAGTATATTTCTTTTTTTTTTTTTTTTAAGGTTTCATTTATTTACTTGAGACAGGGTGAGTGAGAGAGAGCACAAGCCAGGGGAGGGGCAGAGGGAGAGGGAGGAGCACTCTCCGCTGAACAGGGAGCCTGATGTGGGATCATGACCTAAGCTGAAGGCAGACACTTAACCGACGGAGCCACCCAGGCACCCTAAACGAGTATATTTCTATATGATTTTTTTGCCTCCACGATCATGTTGGATAATATTTTATAATATATATTTGCAAAAGACTTTATTTATTTGAGAGAGAAAGAGAAAGAGCAGAGGGAGGAGGAGAGGGAGAGGGAAAAGCAGACTCTGGCTCGATCTCAGGACCCTAAGATCATGACCTGAGCTGAAATCAATAGTTGGATGCTTAACTGGCTGGGCCACCCAGGTGCCCCAATATTTTATAGTATTTTACATATGGGGCTTGAACTCATAATACTGAGATCAAGAATTACATGCTCTACCAACTGAGCCTGCCAGGTGCCCCATATTTTATAATATTTTAAATAGTTGCTTAGATGCTAAGTGATTCAGGAAGTATGAAAATAGTTCTGTTATTTATAATAGATACGGTATATGTTTGGCAGTCAAATATTACTTTTCTTTTTCAGATCTTTCAAGAAATCGTTTTACAGAAATTCCTTCTGATGTCTGGTTATTTGCCCCTCTTGAGACATTAAATTTATATCATAATTGCATCAAAACCATTCCTGAAGCCATTAAAAACCTGCAGATGTTAACATACCTTAACATTAGGTAAGGAAACATTTTTTGGTAGATTTTGTTTTTTATTACAGTTCTAATCCTTTTTAGTAACAAAGGAATATGTTTGGTTTGGCTATGTAACCTATATTTATCTCAACTGTATCTTATTTGTATTTGTTATATGTTCACATTACTTTATAAGTGTTTGGTCTTGTTGAGAGCAGTGCTTCTCATCCCAGCCTTTAATCTGCACAGGAGTCACCTGGGGATTAAAACATCTGATTACATAGCTCTGCAGTGGGGCCTGCATTTCTCACAAGCCCCCTGGTAATGCCAGTGCCTGCTGGTCCTTATCACTTTGAGTAGCAAGGCTTTATTTAGATCAGAAATGTTTTACTGAAATCATAGCACCCACAATGCAGATTTATATATATGCATTTTCAGTTAAAGTGAAACATTATAAAGAAACAGTTCTTCAGCTATATTGTTCACTCTTGTGAGTTCTTGCTACTTTAAGGATGGATAGGTTGGGATGGGAGTGTTGGAATGTTAAGAAGTAGATGACAGTTGGTGTTAATACTTAATAGATGCTTACTATGTGCCAGACAATGTTACAAATACCTTATCCATATTACCTCATCTCCTCTTCACAACAGCATTTTGAGAGGTACTATTTTTTTTTAAAGATTTTATTTATTTATTTGAGAGAGAGAGAGAGAGTGGGGAGGGGCAGAAGGAGAGAAGCACACTCCCTCCTGAGCAGGGAGCCCGATGCAGTGCAATGCGCTGTGATGTGGGGCTTGATCCCAGGACCCTGAGATCATGACCTGAGCTGAAGGCAGACGCTTAACCGACTGAGCCACCCAGACACCCCAAGAGAGGTACTATTTTATCCCTGCATTACAGATGAGGAAACTGAAGCACAGAGAGTAACTACATGCCCAAAGTCATATGTGTTGTGTATGTGTACACATATATAGACACACACACAGACACACATACATATATATGCTATATATATACAGCAAGTGGTAGAGCCAAGATTCGGATCAAAGCAGTATGGCTGTAGAACTCTCGTTCTTAGCTATTAACCTCTATTTATAACAGCCAACATTTGATAAGTATAAGAAGAAAATTGTCCTGGGGCACCTGGTTGGCTCAGTTGGTTAAGCGACTGCCTTCAGATCGGGTCATGATCTCAGGGTCCTGGGATCGAGCCCCGCATTGGGCTCCCTGCTTGGCGGGGAGCCTGCTTCTCCCTCTCCCACTCCCCCTGCTCGTGTTCCCTCTCTCGCTGTCTCTCTCTCTGTCACATGAATAAATAAAATCTTTAAAAAAAATTGTCCTGTCAAATGAGTGACATTGAATGGAAACTGGTAAATTGTGACTTAGCTTAGAATCATTTTCGGGGCACCTGGTTGGCTCAGTTGGTGGAGTGTGTGACTCTTGATCTCTGAGTTGTGGGTTTGAGCGCCATGTTGGGTGTAGATTACTTAAAAAAATAAAATGTTAAAAAAAAGAATCAGGGGTGCCTGGGTGGCTCAGTCAGTTGGGCATCTGCCTTCGGCTCAGGTCATGATCCCAGGGTTTTGGGACCAAGCCCCCGGCTCTCTGCTCAGCGGGGAGCCTGCTTCTCCCTCTCCCTCTGCTTGCCGCTCCCCCTGCTTGTGTGCTCCCTTTCTCTCTGTCAAATAAATAAATAGTCTTTAAAAAAAAAATTTATTTATTTATTTATTTATTTTTCTTTAATTGTAAGAGATAATTTCTTCCCCCTTCTTAACAAAGTTACATGTCTAAATCCCCATACAGGGAGGTGGTAAATATAATTAACATATATAAATAATAATGCTCCTTTCTCACTGTGATACATTAATCCTATTGGTCTCCCCCAGTGGTGTCACCTGGCAGTACATACTATTTTAACTGAATGTTTATACCTTAAAATGTGTGAGAGGAAATTCCTTTCATAGATGTTAGTCATTTGGGTTGCTCTTTTCTCTAATTCTCTAATATCTCCTTGGCCTGGCTTGGGAGAGGTTTTGAGGCAAATCAGGCATTTTTAAGTTTTGTCTTTACTTCTGTTTCTCTTTGTTCTCTTACAGAAGAAAAGTGATTTGTCAAAAATTGAATTATATTTCTATAGTAATAGAAATGTATGGTAATCTTAAAATAGTTCTACTAAAACTTTCTCTGATTCTTTCCATTTTTGATCTTTATTTGTGTATTTTTAAAAAGATTTTTTTTTTTTTTTTACAAGAGAGTGAGCACGCGAGAGTGAGGGTGGGTGGCAGAGGGAGAAGCAGACTCCCCACTGAGCAGGGAGCCCAATGCCAGACTTGATCCCAGGACCCAGGGATCATGACCTGAGCTGAAGGCAGAGCTTAACTGACTGAGCCACCCAGGTGCTCCTGTTTTGATCTTTAAAAGTCGCCTTCTGATTTTTGTTTATAGTCACAAACATTTTTTTTTTTAAGATTTTATTTATTTAATTGACAGAGAGAGACACAGCGAGAGAGGGAACACAAGCAGGGGGAGTGGGAGAGGGAGAAGCAGGCTACCAGCTGAGCAGGGAGCCCAACGCGGGGCTCCATCCCAGGACCCTGGGATCACGACCTGAGCCGAAGGCAGACGCTTAACCGACTAAGCCACCCAGGCACCCCTAGTCACAAACATTTTTGAGCAAACTTTATTGAAATAACATTAGTCCTTGTTTTGACTTCCTTTGTCTCTGAAACATGGCAAAAAGGTGAAAATTAATCACTTCTTAGCTGTGTATAAAGAAATTCCATTCTGGAGAAAGCTGACTGTGCTAACTCAGTGAACCTGTTTCTTAAAGTAAGAAAATAGACCAATTGTTTTTTAAAGTAAGCTTTAGGCCCAACCTGGGGCTTGAACTCATGATCCCCAGATCAAAGGTCCCACGCTCTACTGACTGAGCCAGCCACGTGCCTCCCCCAAATAGGCCAATTTTTAAACTTTTTGGTCTGAAGGAGATTAGAATAAATTTGTATGTGCCATTATTTTTCCCACTTTATTTTTTATTTTGGTGAAAATATCTTGAGAAACTTGTAAGATGGTTTTTCAGCTCTCTCTTTCTGTGTAATACTCCCTTTTTCAGTAGAACTCTGCAAGAAGATCCTTGTGTGCTTCACACTGGCCACTTTCCCAAGGATCCTATTTGATTCTGAAAGTGTCAAGGTTGTAACAAGCCCCTGGCATATTTGACATTCCAGTTCCCCGGGCCAGGATTACTGGTCTAGGGGCGTTTTTTTTTTTGGTAAAGTCGGTGCCTTGTGATTAAAGCCAGTCTAGTGTTTCTGGATGTCCTCTGCAGGCATAACATGGGGAGTTGAAAGGTCTTGATGTTCTTCCTTGGGGTAACACTAGGTTTTTGTTGCTGTGCGTGTTGCACAAAATGCTGGGTACAGATCTATAAATGCCACTTTGAGGGGTGCCTGGGTAGCTCAGTTGGTTAAGCATCAGCCTTCTGCTCAGGTCATGATCCCAGGGTCCTGGGATTGAGCCCCGCATTGGGCTCCCTGCTCAGCAAGAAGCCTGCTTCTCCCTCTTCCTCTGCCTGCCGCTCCCCTTGCTTGTGCTCTCTCTGTCAAATAAAATCTTTCAAAAAAAATAAATGCCCCTTTGAAAAACAGGAAAAATAACTTATTTTTATGAATACTTGATAGTATGTAAATGTAATGGTATACTTTATATTTTTTGGTGGGGGGATTGTCTTAGTCTGTTTGGGCTGCTATGACAGAATACCATGTATTGGGTGCCTTATAAACAGCAAACTTAGTTTTCACATTTCTGGAAGCTGAGATGTCCAAGATCAAATCACCGGCAGATTCGGTGTCTGGTTAAGGACCTGCTTCCTGGTTCATAGGCAGCCATTTTCTAGCTGTCCTCACATGGTAGACGGAGTAAGGGAGCTCTCTGAGGTATTTTTTACAAGGGCACTAAACCTGTTCATGAGGGCTCCACCCTTATGACCTAATCACCTCCCAAAGGCCCCACTTGCAAATATCACATTGAGGATTAGGTTTCAGCTTTATAAATTTGTGGGGTACACAAACATTGAGTCTACAGCAGGGATCATTTGGGTCAATCTATATTGGTATATAAATTTGACGCACAGTAGGTTGAGGGTAAGGACCCCAGAGCCATATTGCCCGGATTTGAATCCTGGCTCTCTTACTTACCAGCTGTGTGACTTTGAGCAGTTTGCCTAATCTCTTTTTGACTGATTCTTCCTCTGTAAAATGGGCATCATGATATGCTCTATTTTCCTGAAGTAGGTTGTTGTATTAGTGGAGTTAATTCATGTGAGGTACTCTGCACATGGCCTGACACATAGTAAGCAGTAAATGTTGGTTGTTGTTATATTTAAGTGTATCCACAGAGATATGAATTTTTTATCAACTTGGAACTGAGGTAAAGGTGTTAGTGGGCTGTTCTACCATAAACCCATAAGAAAAGGGAATGGGTTAGGGTTGCTACAAGTCTTTGAAGATGTAGTTCTATTAATTCTTTCATAGATTTGAACTTAGTGCATTCAAACTTATCTTTGGAACCTTTCCTTTGTTAGAGTCATGGAAGTATTGAATGCAATGAAATGATACCAGAGAACAAGGTTCTGGAATTTTCTAGCTCAGAAGAATGATTCTGGGTTTTGAGAACTGATGCTATCTAAGACAGTATCATAGGTAACAACACAGGCTTTGCAATCTTTTGTGACTGGGCAAGTCCCTTAGCCAGTTTTAACCTTTGTTCTCTTATTTGTATAATGGAGATAATAGTAGTGCCTGTCTTACGGGGTTAATGGGAGTATTAAATGAGATAGTACATTTAAGGATTTTAGTGCAATACAGAGTAAGCACTCATTAAATGATAGTCATTATTTGGTGAAAGCTTTTTATTTACTTTTGAGGTGATTTGTTCATCTCAACATAATGTGAGGGATTTCAGACATATCTCATAATGAGACTTTCTTATTCTTTTCAGTCGAAATCTTTTATCAACATTGCCAAAATACCTATTTGATCTTCCCCTTAAAGTTTTGGTCATCAGTAATAATAAACTTGTATCCATTCCAGAAGAAATTGGGAAGTTAAAAGACTTAATGGAATTGGTGAGTAAAATAGTTGCAATGATCGTGTATAATATATAATATACATAACACATACCTTTATATTTTGGAAGATTGCTCTTTATGAAATTTCAGTTTAATTTTTTTTTTAAAGAGTAACTTGGTATATGCTTATGTTCACCTTAGTAAAATTTTGATATACAATTGCTTATGTCTGATTTTAGCTCACAGCCACAATAAAAGCCTGGTTGTTCCTTAGTCCTAGTGAGGTCAGAAGGTTTGCTTATAAGTCTTAAGAAATGATTTTCAAACCAATAAACATTTTTTTAATTCATTTTGGGGACAGTAAAGGTCTTAGACCAGGAAAAGATTTTTTAAAGGTTTTACAGGACTACTATGAAAGCCTCAGAGAAGGGGGGATAAAGGAAGAGAGTACAATGCCTGCAAACAATAGAATGAACAAAATAACTCTTCCTCTCCTATATTCTCATGTGATTTTATAACACTTTTGGGACCAAGATAAATGGAGAGAGGCCATTATATACAATTAATTGTAGAAATATAGCATTAATTTAATTATCTTGAACAGAACATTTTAGGTATTAAATGATATTGAACTTTGAGAGAAACATATCCTCAAAGCATTGACCTATTTTCTCATCTTTCTGTTACTTCTGTAGGGGGACAAGGGCAGGTCACACCAAGATGGGCTACTTTGGCATGATTATTTTGAGTTGAAAGCAATCAAACCAACAGATTTAGGAAAAGCTCTTCACCTCCCCCTCAACTGCCTAAATTTACATTGGAAAGGAGAGCCTACACCAGGAAAGGCCCTATTAAAAGAGATTCCTCTTTACCTATTTAACTTTACCTAACTTATTCAAATAATTGAGCACTCCTTTATTTTCCAAACATCTCCTCTCACCTTCCTGCTTATAATGGTCTTCCTCCCCTTTGTTTTCCCAGACTCCTACCCATCTCCTTAGCTCAGGATGTCACATAGCCTCTTGTTGCCTGATTGTCTTTGGAATTTCATGTTTGTATGGATTCTCCATACTTATGAAACTAAATTTGATTTTCTCCTGTTAATTTGTCTCATGTTAATTTGATTCTTAGTCCAGCTGGAAGGACTTTGAAAGGCAGAGGACATTTCTTTCTTCCCAACACTTCCACCTCAATACAATATACCTTGCTGTTTATTTTTATTTTTTTGTTTTATCTTGAGTAATCCTTTCCCAATAAATAGACATTTTTAAAGTATTCTTAAGTATGACTTTATTATGTGTGGAGGGCCAAAAGTTTTCTTGGGGAGCTTATCCATGATTATACAGTGGCAAATTAATGTGCAAATAGAATGTAATGAACAGAAATTTCAGGAATGTCATTCTTTTATTTCTTTTATTCATTGATGCATGTGCAATTATAACACAAGGAGACTGTCTTGAACTTAGTCTTGTTACAGTGTTTTAGAATCATTGAATTTAGCCACTTGCTAATGAAGGAATCCCTGACACATCTAGTTGTATATTTTCAGTGGTGGATAAGTCTTTTTTTTAAAAAGATTTTATTTATTTATTTGAGAGAGAGAATGAGACAGAGGGAGAGAGAGCATGAGAGCGGGGAGGGTCAGAGGGAGAAGCAGACTCCCTGCCGAGCAGGGAGCCTGATGCGGGACTCGATCCTGGGACTCCAGGATCATGACCTGAGCCGAAGGCAGTCACTTAACCAACTGAGCCACCCACGCGCCCTGGATAAATCTTTTTTTGTGTGACTGAGGCATCCCTTATTCTCTTTTGCAAAACTTTGTTATCTTTATTATTTTGAACTAAAATACATGCCCCTATCACTTTTATCCATTGGTCCTGAGAAAAAGTATAGATAATGACAACTTTTGACAGGATCACCTTAGCTGCTATGTTGAGAATAGGCTATTAACAGAAGCGAAAAATAATAAAATTTTGGAAAAATAGCCTTTAAGTTAATACTATTGCTTCCTACAAAAGTATCTAACACTAGAGATTTCCACATAAAAATCCATAGAAATTTGATAGCTGCCCCGAAGAAATAAACCCAAGCACAAAAAACTGACCCACTCACCAATGGGTACTCTACAAAATACTTGGCTGGGTATTGGAGACCTGAGAATATTTCCTAGGCTTCTAATGACAGAATTTCACTGTAGATGGCTACCACATTCTTGTGGAATAGTGTCATGGGAAATACTCCAATTACAGGTAATACCTACAAATTCATTACGTGATTTACAACTGTCAGTTAACCATCCTAACGCTATGTGAAAAAGTATAGATAATGACAACTTTTCTTCCCTTCAGGTATTTGTAATCTGTCACATGTCTGTTCTCCATTTTACCAAACTCCAAGACCTGTTTTTCTGTAGCTTAAACATCGTTGTTACTTTTATTACTTTCTATATTTTCTATATTTCTGTTCTTCATTACTTTTTATTTTTAGCTATTTCTGCCCTGAAAATGTTTCCTTTTATTAAGGTCCCTTTTAACATTATATTCATGAATGAGCAGAAGATTCTAGAGGTGATTTAACAAATTCATGGTAAAAGAGGACCAGTATTTTCTTTGACTTAGATACTGTTAATATTTTTAAAGATTTTATAAATATTATACTTTATTCTATGGCTGTATAATTTCTTTTTCTTTTGTTTCATTCAGTTTTTGACCCTATGTTCTAAATTATATTACATGAGATAGTTTTGGGATAAATAAAATTTTAAAAATATTTAGGATTTTTAGATTTTTTCTAGTATTTTTAGCTAAATAGAATATTTTAAAACTATTAAATACCATATTTCACTAGGCACTATAAAATTATTGTGCTTTTATTTAAATTCTTGAAATCCGTAACAGTGGAGAGAGAGCATTAGGATGGTTAACTGACAGTTGTAAATCACGTAATGAATTTGTAGGTATTACCTGTAATTGGAGTATTTCCCATGACACTATTCCACAAGAATGTGGTAGCCATCTACAGTGAAATTCTGTCATTAGAAGCCTAGGAAATATTCTCAGGTCTCCAATACCCAGCCAGGTATTTTGTAGAGTACCCATTGGTGAGTGGGTCAGTTTTTTGTGCTTGGGTTTATTTCTTCGGGCAGCTATCAGATTTCTATGGATTTTTATGTGGAAATCTCTAGTGTTAGATACTTTTGTAGGAAGCAATAGTATTAACTTAAAGGCTATTTTTCCAAAATTTTATTATTTTTCGCTTCTGTTAATAGCCTATTCTCAACATAGCAGCTAAGGTGATCCTGTCAAAACATAAGTCAGATCATGTCATACCTCTGTTTAAAAGTTTCTGGTTCCTGCTCAGATATCTCTTGAATAAAAGCCTAAGTTGTATCCCTCCTACCACTTTAGTCTCCCCCCGCTCCCCCAACCTTGCCCACTTCCTTCTAGTTACACTGGATTTCTTGCTGTTCTTTAGTACCTGTCAGGCATGTTTGCCTAAGAGTCCTTTTACATTTATTGTTTCTTATATTCCTTTCTTATATATTGGCATGGCTCATACTCTCAGCTCTGACAGTACTGCTCAAATACCAGCTTCTCAATGAGACAATCTAAATTGCTAATATCCCTCCCCATTACTATTAGCACTGCCATTTTCCTTTACCCTGCTGTTTTTTTTTCCACAGCATTTATCACCTGTAATATTATATAATCTACTCTCCTTGCTAGAATGTAATAAGCTCCATAAAGAGCAACGAGGGCACGAATTTTTGTTGACTTTATTTTGTGGTGTGTCCCTAGCATCTAGAACTGGGCCTAGCAAATAGTTTTTTTTTTTTTTTTTTTAAGATTTTATTTATTTATTTGACAGAGAGAGAGATAGCGAGAGCAGGAACACAAGCAGGGGGAGCGGGAGAGGGAGAAGCAGGCTTCCTGCCGAGCAGGGAGCCCGATGTGGGACTCCATCCCAGGACCCTGGGATCATGACCTGAGCTGAAGGCAGACACTTAACGACTGAGCCACCTAGGCACCCAAATAGTTGGTATTTGATAAATGTTTGTCATTGAATGAAGATGCCTTAGATATAGTTTGAAAGAAGTATGTAGGATACATTTTTCTAATCACCTTGGCTCTATTGGATTTTTCCCTATATGGCTTTAATATTCTTCTGAATTTACCCTCCTGCCTTTTTTATTTTTTATTTTTATTTTTATTTATTTTTGCCTTTTAAAAATTTTTGATAGAACTGAATATATGTGCCACTCGTCTCCCACCAAGCTAATATCATTTCCAGTGGAAGTTGGAAATTGGGGGCAGTTGCAGTAGCATGTGAATTTCATTTGCAGTGTGTCTGGAATGACTGCTGTGTGAGATCTTGTTGCAGATTTTTCTTCAAGAGGAGGAAAAAGAGAGCACAATTAAGCTGTCTCTTATTAAGGAAAAGTGGTATCCTTTACCTTTAAATCAGGACTTGCATTTTAATTTAACCTTGAGACACTTCCGATTCAGATCTCCTTGGAGAGTCTTTGGGTTATGATGTGGGCCACAGAATTTTGAGCTTGTAACCCCTCATTTTTGTATCCCTTTGGGAAAGAGGTTTAAATTGATTCTGACCATAGTCTTTGGTTCTCCAGCTCACGTCTGTAAATTCTTGACTCTCTCAGCTTCTGCCTAACAGAGTAACTGAAAACTACTATAATTGATAGATTATCACAGTGACAGATAGTCATTTTTTATTTTACCTCTGAATGAAGAGCACCTGCATTATCCTTATAATTTTAGTTTTGGTTGGCAAGAGTGGTCTTTAGTTGAGATTTTCAAAAGGCTGAATTATGTAGTACTAAGTTATAACTTCACAGTGTTGCACAGAAAAATATGTTAACTGTGCTAGATTGACTTCATGATGTAATATAAATAGAAATCTGCCAGATAATCCACTTTTAGAGAAACAACATTTGAGGTAACTTTTGCTAGCTATTAGCCATGTGCTTTAATTTTAAAATGGAAATAGGTATTTCTCAGTTAGTTTGTTATAATTTTATTTTCTTATTTTCCTTAGGATATTAGCTGCAATGAGATTCAGGTCCTTCCCCAACAAATGGGAAAATTACATTCACTTAGAGAGCTAAATATAAGAAGAAATAATCTTCATGTGTTGCCAGATGGTAAGATGCTCATTATTTCTACTGAAATGAATAAGAGAGTAACTCTGTCAAATTTAATTTAATTATCTTTCATTTCTGAACAGAATTAGGAGATCTTCCCTTAGTCAAGCTGGATTTCTCTTGTAATAAAGTGACCGAAATCCCAGTTTGTTACAGGAAGCTGCATCATTTACAAGTAATGATTTTGGATAACAATCCATTGCAAGTACCACCAGCACAGGTTTGTAATAAAAATATGATACGTGTTTCTTCTCTTTTTATTCATAATTATACATCAAATTGGTAAATCAAAAAGCATCAGAATTAGGAGTCAAATTCTGTCAGTGTTCTTTTAAAAACATAGACTGTGGAATCTCTCTACCTCTCTCCTACTCAGGTATGTATCTTCTTGACATTTGTTGTACGATTGATTGAACCACATTCTTAGCACTGATAGATGGAATCCTAACAGAAAGAACAAGATACGAGTGGAAAAGTATTAATTTAGCCTTTGAGTTGGAGGATTAAATCCACGTGTTGTCTACTGAAATGATAGTAAAGGAATATACTAAGATATAAACCCATAAGCCCAAAGAGTGAGAGAGAAGAGGGCAGCAGGGGAGAAATGGCAACAGAATTTTGGAAAATGGAAGACATGAAATAGCAGAAACTAGGGTCTTTACTTACACTGGCCTAGGAGGCACATGGCAGTGAAATGCCAGCCCCTTCTCTACTTCCAAGCTATGTTCCCTTGCTCAGGCTTCGCATACATCCAGAAGAAGGGTTGCCTTTTTCTTTCTACAAAGGTACATTCCACTCATTCCAAAGGAGTTGCTTTTTCTAATTCAAATAAAGGCTGGCTGGGGTGCTGGTAGTAGCTGCCTTAGCAGGATGGGGAAAGCTGAAGCTTGGGAGAAGGCAACAAGAAGGTTGATTTACTGTGTTAAACCTGGGAATGGCTTGCATGTTGGAGGAAACATATAACTGAATAGAAGGAAGAAAGACTGAAAATATGAAGGTCTGCAGAATGTCGAAGGCAGTGCTGTCTAGCAGAACTTCCTGAATTATAGGAACGTTCTATAATTTGTGCTGTCCGATACCATTGCTGCTTGCCACATGTGGCTGTTGAGTACTTGAAATATGGCTGGTGTGACTAAGGAACCAAAATTTAGATGTAATCTTATTTTGATTAATTTAAAATTAAATAGCTTCATGTGACTAGTGGCTATCATATTGGACACAACAGGTCTAAGACTTACACCCTCAGATTCTTGCCCTTAGCTCTGCAGCGACGTAACTGGCCCTCACTTGCCTTAGTAGAAGTCTGGGGTTTATTCAGTAGTAGAATAGGTAGGTAGATTCTCTCGGATTCTCTCCCTTGGCTCGGCAGCCAAATGACTATTGCTCCTTGCCTCAGCAGAATATTTTCTTGGTCATAATACTGTAAATACTGGATTTTGATTTAATGAGAAATTGTGACATAGTTATAATAATAGCAAAAATACATCTAGTGCTTCCTGTGTTCCAGGCGCTATTGAAATGCTTTACATGCATTAATTTATTTAATTCTTATAGTAACCCTATAAAACAGGTACTGTAATCATACCTCATTTTATATATGAGGAAACAGAGGCATAGAAGCTAAGGGACTTATTCAGTGCCACATAGCTAGCATGTGGTACAGCTGGTTTCAAACCAAGGCAGTCCGACTGCAGTCCACGCTCTAACCCCTATGCTATGCTTCTGAAGGAGGAAGTAAGTTGATGGGGATTGAAGATGGGACGATGGTATGGTGTTGTTGATGATAAGTGATTAGTGGTGGTAGTGGTAATGTAAGAAATCTAAGTCCTCAGTTTCCTTAGTAAGCCCTCAATTAAGAAGATCTATAACTAAAAAAATAAAACAGTAGAACCATGTTACTGATAAATATAAAGGTAAGTAGCAAAAAACCAACTAAAAGTTGGTATGTGGGGACTAGGTCTTAGAGATTGAAAGGGGTAGAATGGGGGATTAATTTTTTATCAGTTTTATAGTTCTCTTTGATTTTAAAACTGTATACATGAATTACTACAGTAAAAAATTCATGAAAGGGGGCACCTGAGTGGCTCAGTCGGCTAAGCATGTGACTTCAGCTCAGGTCATGATCTCAGCGTCCTGGGATTGAGCCCTGCATAGGGCTCCCTGCTCAATGAGGAGTCTGCTTGTCTTCTCCCTCTGCCCCTCCCCCTGCTTGTGCACCTGTGAGCTCTCTCTCTCTCTCTCAGATAAATAAAATCTTTAAAAAAATTTACAAAAGAAAAGAATTCGGGTGCCTGGGTGGCTCAGTTGGTTAAGCGACTGCCTTCGGCTCAGGTCATGATCCCAGGGTCCTGGGATCAAGTCCCACATCAGGCTCCCGGCTCAGCAGGGAGCCTGCTTCTCCCTCTGACCCTCTCCTCTCTCATGCTGTTTCTCTCTCGCTCGCTCTCCAATAAATAAATAAATAAAATCTTTAAAAAAAAAAGAAAGAAAAGAATTCACCAGTATTTAATTGGTAATGGAAGATAATTATTTTTTGGTTTATACAGAAGTTTTTCCTTTTAAATGAAATTTTTCAGTGGTCAGGTCAGATTTGATATCTATTACAATTATCTAAGAAACATTCTTCCTTTATACCAGGAATGATGATTACCTTTGAATGTACTTTTCTTACTGTTTTCTTTGTTGATTATTTTTGCATATATTTGTAGGTTATGTGAGCCCATAAAACAAAACATTTTTGATTATAGTTTTCTTAACTTTTTTTTAAAGTAAGTTCTACACCCATCGTAGGGCTTGAACGCATGACCCTGAGATCAAGAGTTGCATGCTCTTCCTACTGAGCCAGCCAGGTGCCCTATGATTATAGTTTCTGAGAAATATTTATATAATATTACTCATGGTGACTGCAGTTAACATTTGTAAAGCTGACTTACTGTTTTCTTACTGCTCATTGTCTTTTTTATATAGAATACTTTCTTTCACATAGTATTTTACCCCTTATTATTCCTTTTCTCCATCACCAGGGAAAATAACTTTTCAGGATATTATCTTAGTTGAATTGGCCATTTAAAAAACTATTTTATAAAAACAACAACAACAACAACAACAAAAAAAACTATTTTATTCTAACTGGCCTACTAATGCGCCTTTCAACAAATTAATTTTTCCTATATTTACATTATTTTGATTAGCTCTCTTCCAGTGCTTAGACCAAACAATTTAGTGTTTCTGATAAGATTACCTTTTTTTAAAAATTAATTAATTATTATTATTATTATTTTTTAAAGATTTTATTTATTTATTTGACAGAGAGAGACACAGCGAGAGAGGGAACACAAGCTGGGGGAGTGGGAGAGGGAGAAGCAGGCTTCCCGTGGAGCAGGGACCCCGATGCGGGGCTCGATCCCAGGACCCTGGGATCATGAGCCGAGCCGAAGGCAGACGCCTAACAACTGAGCCACCCAGGCGCCCCAAGATTACCTTTCTTTTTTAAAGATTTTATTTATTTACTTGAAAGAGAGCAGGGGCAGGGGGAGGGGCAGAGGGAGAGGGAGAAGCAGACTCCCCACTGAGCACGGAGCCCGATTCAGGGCCCCTGGGACCCAGGACCCTGGGGTCACAACCCAAGCTGAAGGCAGATGCTCCACTGACTGAGTCACCCAGGTGTCCCTGATAAGATTACTTTAAAGAATGACATGGGTTATTTTTTTTCTTGTTCTCATCACTGCAATGAATATATTTCTTTTCACTTTTTTCTAATAAAAGCAACTTTTATGAATTATAGATTTTATATTATTTAGTGGCTTGTTATTGTACTTTTAACAAGAACACTTTAGTGAAATACAGAAAAATTATTTTTTTCTAGTAAGAATAGAAACAGCTAAAGAATTTTAGTTGGTATCATTGTCAAATGTTTTCATAAAGTGTCAGCAGTACAAATTCAAATATGTAAAGTACCTATTATGATTGTGATGTCTCAGCATAATTTTAAGGTTATTAAAATATGTAAATAAATTGGCAGGTGAAACTTATATTTGGACCTATATAATTAAATCTACTTTCTCAATTATTTGACAGATATGTTTAAAGGGTAAAGTACACATATTTAAATACTTAAATATCCAAGCATGTTGCAGAATGGATAAGAAACCAGATTCTCTGGATCTTCCATCACTGAGTAAAAGAATGCCCTCCCAGCCTCTCACAGACAGGTAATGTAATATTCTTACAGTCTTATCTCATGATTGGTGTCTTCTCTGTATGCAAAAGATATTTATTAATCTTGAGTGTACTGAATGTATTTAGGTTGATTGGCCCAGTGTTAAAATCAATAATTGACTGAAGTGAAATCTCACCATCATAGAATGAACCTCTTTGATACTAGAATAAATTTGGGATTTTCTCAAAATATTAATTGTACTAATATTTTCGTAGTAAAATGTAAACGTTTGACATTATAGTACAGAAACACTAATTTCTCAGCACTCGACAACTGTTAATTTACTACTATAATCACTCTATTGTACTAATCAGTGTTGTAATAACTAGCAGAATTTGACTTTGAACTGAGGTTAGTGGAAGAGCAAGACATTTTGGGGTACCTTTCTTCTTTTCTTCATATTCTTTATTTATGTCTAGACCAAAGATGATTTATCATTGATATTCTGTATGATATTGATACTCTGTATGATACGAAAATCTTCTGAGATTTTGAAATGGTAGATTTGATTATCTGTTTTTAATTCATCCTTTCGGGATGTAGGTTGGTCTGAAAGATTTTATGGAAACATAATTCCATCCATTAGTATGGAAAATAATTTGGAATGGGGTAAGACTACAGAAAGGGAGACTACACTCTTGCCTAAAATGTTTAAAGGTTTGTCATTTGTACCAAAATTTAGACTAATTGGAATGGCAGTATTTTAAGTACTGTTCTTGAATTCCCAAATAGGACATTTTCTTGAATTTTTCTGTTGCCTAAGTAGAATTAAATATCTAAACATTATATTTAATTCCTAAAGATTTATTTGTTTATTATGAATAATAGACCAAACAATTCTACAAAAACTAGACTTTATTCATACTCTAAACTTTATTAGTTTGCTTTATATTTATTTAAAAATGAATTTACTTGAGTAATGGCATTATTATACTAGTCATTTATTTATTTTACAAATATCAGTTAAAAAAAAAACAAGTATCAGTCAAATGCCTGCTGGCAGGTTCAGGGTATGTTTCGTTGAATGATGTACACCTTGGTGTTGGCCTTCATGGAGTCCACAGTGTAGTGGAGGAGTCAGTCAGCAAACAAAGCAAAGAAATAAAATATACATACACACATACAATTTCAAAATTGTGGCAAGTGCTGTGAAGGAAAGGAACATATTTCAGGAGTATGTTCAGGGAATGTCGCTTTGGGAAGGTGAGGTTTTAAGTCAAGACCTGAAAGGAGAAAAGCTAGCTGTGTAAAGACGAAGGGGAAGAGCATTTCAGGCAGAAAGAATGACATGTGCTAAGGCCTTAAGATAGGAAGAAACTTGGTGTGTTAAAGAAACAGAAAGGCCAGCCTGATTGGAGCAGAGTGGCTGAGGGTACAGATGTACAAGTTGATTTTGAGGAGGTAGTCAGGGCTTGAGTCATGTGGGTGCTTTGGAGGCTGTGGTAAGGAGTTTGAATTTTACTTATAGTACAATGGGAAGTCAGTGGACAGTTACAAGCAGGGGAATAGCATGATCTGATTTATGTTTTAAAAAAGAGCTGTTTCGGCTCTTATAATAAGGAGAATAGATTGGAAGTAAACAAAAGCAGAAGCACAGGGACTAGTTAGGTTGTTGAAGTACTTCCAAGAGATCAAGGGGTCTTGAATAGGGTGATTGCAGTTAGAGATGAAAAGGAGTGGACAGGATTGAGATATATTTTGGAGATGGTCTCTAGCAACGATGTCCGATAGAAATGTAATGTAAGCTACGTATGTAATTTTGCATTTTCTTGTAATCCATTAAAAAAAGTAAAAATGAAACAGGTGAAATTAATTTTAATAATATGTTATTTAGGGACACCTGGGTGGCTCAGTGCGTTAAGTGTCTGCCTTCGGCTCAGGTCATGATCCCAGGGTCCTGGGGTCCCACATCGGGCTCCCTGCTCAGTTGGGAGCCTGCTTCTCCCTCCTCTCTGCCTGCCGCTCCCCCTGCTTGTGCTCGCTCTCTGACAAATAAATAAAATCTTACAAAAAAATGGTATTTAGCCCAGTATATCCAAAATATCATTTCAACATGTATTTCATGTAAAAATGTTAGTAAGGTATTTCATGTTCTTTTTCTATTACATCATTTAAATCTGGGGTGTATTTTTCATTTATAGCACATTTCAATTTAGACTAGCCACATTTCAAGTGCTCAATAACCATATATAGGATAGTGGCTACTATATAGGATAGTGCAGGTTAATAGAGTTTACTTAATGAAGTGACTCTGGGGTGTGCTAATTTCCTACTCACAGCCTGTATTGAACTACTTAGAACTAATTCACGTATGCACTTTCCACTTTTACACTCATGCCTTTGGCTTTATGGTTCTTACTACCTAGAATAGCCTTCCATGCCTTGACTATTTTGTAAACTCTTATTCTACATAGGTAAGCATTATAGTAGTTAAGTATATCAACTTTTGGAGTCAGATATATGGGCCCATGAAGCCCTTCTCCAGCTCTTGATAACTTTATGTCCTTGTGTCATAACGTCTCTAGTCCTTAGTTTTCTTTCATTTATTTATTTATTTTTAAATTTTATTATTTTATTTTTATTTTTATTTATTATTTTATTATTTTATTATTTTTTAATTTTTTAATTTTATTTTTATTTTATTATGTTATGTTAGTCAACATACATTACATCATTAGTTTTTTTTTTTTTGAGGTAGTGTTCCATGATTCATTGTTCTCTTTTTTTTTTAAAGGAACCAGTCTTCTTTTTTTTTTTTTTAAAGATTTTATTTATTTATTTGACAGAGACACAGCGAGAGCAGGAACACAAGCAGGGGGAGTGGGAGAGGGAGAAGCAGGTGTCCTGCAGAGCAATTCCTCAACAAATAGTTTATTACTGTCGTTGTCAACTATTACAAATACACATATATTTTAGTATAGTACATGGATATATTATTATTATTTTTTTAAGATTTTATTTATTTGCGAGAGAGAGAATGAGAGACAGAGAGCATGAGAGGGAGGAGGGTCAGAGGGAGAAGCAGACTCCCCGCTGAGCAGGGAGCCTGATGTGGGACTCGATCCCGGGACTCCAGGATCATGACCTGAGCCGAAGGCAGTCGCTTAACCAACTGAGCCACCCAGGCGCCCTACATGGATATATTATTGTGCAGTGGCGTCAGATGGATTTTGCTTCTAATCATGGTTTAACCTCTTAATTCCTGTGTAGCCTGTGTAAGTTATTTAATCTCTCTGAGCCTGTTTCTTTACTTAAGATGTTAACAATACCCACTTCATAAGCTTGTTGTGAAAATTAAATGTGTGCTTGGCAACTAGTTCAAGAAATGATATTCAGTAAATGTTACATTTTTTGGGGGCACCTGGGTGGCTCAGTCGGTTGGGCATCTGCTTTTGGCTCAGGTCATGATCCCAGAGTCCTGGGATCGAGCCCCGCATTGGGCTCCCTGCTTAGTAGGGAGCCTGCTTCTCCCTCTCCTGCTCTCCTTGCTTGTGCTTTCTCAGTCTCTGTCAAGTAAATGAATAAATAATCTTAAAAAAAAAAGTTACATTTTTTCCCCTGGGAAGTTAACTTTTATAAGCTTCATTATCCTCATTTGTAAAAAGAAATAATGCATAAATGGCAGAATATAAGGATTATAAATAAAATATGTGTACCTGGCACAGTAGCTAATACAGTGTAGACACTCAGTAAATGCTAGCAAGTATTGCCTCTCTTTATCCTTCAAGACTAAGCTCAAATGCCACTTTCTTGTGTGAGGCCTTTCCTAAACTTACCAAGAATTGATTTCTCTTTTCTCATAGTACTTTATATTTACCTTTGTGATAGTCTTCAAAATATATAAACATACTTCCTCTCTGGGCTGAGAGCCCTTAGAGGCCAAACATTTTTTAATTCATCTCATTTCATTTCAAGCATTCAGCATAGTGCCTGGCACTTACTTGGTAATTGCTTACCTGAGTTTATTGATACACTCCTGAAAACTGTACAGATCAGTATTTGGGGAAGAAATATAGCATAGTGATTAAGATCAGGGACTTTATAGTGTTAGATTCTTGGGATCAAATTTAAACTGCCATTTGTAAGTTGCAGGTCATTGGGTAACTTGTTCAATCCGTCCTGGCCTCTGTTTCCTCACCTGCAAAATGAGAAAACGCCAACCTGCTAGAATTTAAACAAGGCATGTATGAGGTATCATCTTTAAAGCACTTAGCCTAATTCCTGGCACATAAAAAATGGTCTTTATAGAATATATGCAAATTTGCATGTATGTAAATTTGCAAAGTAAAGTGAAAAATACTTTACAACCTGGGTGGCATACTGTTGTGTAATTCAGAAATTTGTAAGGACAGTTCAGTCCTCATACCAAAACAATGACTTACTCAATTCTTTGCTGGTTTTTTGTTTTTTTTGTTTTTTTGCATTTTCTCTTAATTTTTGGATGGGCATTATTTATAAAGCTAAAGCATATTTTTAGAGCTAATGAAGAAATTATGAATTAAAGTTAAAAAATATTTCAACGTTCTATGGTGAAATTTGTTAAACCAGAAAAATAAAAATGTCTTTCATTAAGTTTATTTTCTAGCAGGACTCTCTGCTTTTCTGTACCTCTCAGGAGAAGTAATAGGTTATTGTTAACAATTGACACTTTAAAGATTTTATTTATTTTTTAGAGAGAGAGGGTGTGTGCGTGCACACACACGAGCTGGGTGGGGGAAGCAGCAGAGGGGGAGGGAGAGAGAGGGGGAAGGAATCTCAAGCAGACTCCTCACTGAGCATGGAACCCGATGCGGGGCTGGATCCCACAACCATGAGATCATGACCTGAGCTAAAACCAAGAGTTGGACACTTAACTGACTGAGCCACCCAGGTGCCCCAACAATTGACACTTTACAACAGAGCACATGCAGGGAAAATATTACATGAGGGATATGAATAAAATATTTTATAGGAAGATTTCTGATATTTTCCCTTCATGTTCTTAAGGATTTTAGACATCAAGAGAATATATTCTCTATTATATAGGGAAATTTTAGGTCATGTCTGTATTTATTTAAGAAGAAAACCCTAATTGCCCTTAGAATTTCTATTTCCATAGTATGGAAGACTTTTATCCGAATAAAAATCATGGCCCTGACTCTGGAATTGGAAGTGATAATGGAGAGAAACGATTATCTACAACGGAAGTGAGTCTTTTCTATTGCTGATCTATTTTATTTTAAAATTTTGTTAGAGTTTTGAAATAGGTAGACACTTGAACACACTTGATTTATTTTGCTTAAAAATATTATCATTATTACATTTTATGACTTCAAATGAAAAAAGGACATGCACATTTTTAGAAGCAGAGCAGTAAACCTTAACATATTAATTTTTGGTTTGAGAACTGGAAATGTAAAGCAGATACTCTACACATCCTATGTGAAATTAAAGCAACTTAATCCTATTCTATCTTTAAAATGCCTCATTTGTACTTTGTGCTTATTCCTTTCAGCCATCAGATGATGACACAATCAGCCTTCACTCTCAAGTCTCAGAATCAAATAGAGAGCAGACATCAAGAAATGACAGTCACTCAATAGGAAGTAAACCTGATTCTCAGAAAGGTAATTCATATGGCACCTGCTATTTTTATTTCATGTATATTGCCCTTATTAAAAATGCATTTTGAAAAATTATAGTATCTTTGGCCAATTCTTTTATTGAGAAAATCGACTATTATTCTAAATAATACAGTATGAAAGCCTACTGTTTACTATTTATATTTTCTAACAAATATTAATCTTTAATTAGACCAAGAGGTGTATGATTTTATTGACCCTAACACAGAAGATGTAGCAGTTCCTGAACAAGGAGATGCACATATTGGATCATATGTCTCTTTCCTTAAGGTAAAGAAAACTTTGAACAAATACTAATAACATATTTTCTTTGATCTTACAAAAATACACCACATAGATTTAAAATTATAACTTTCTTTTATATAAGGGGAAAGAAAAAGGTCCTGAGAAATCTCAGAAAAATGAAGAATTGGGAGATGAAAAAAGGTAAGCACACAGGAATTCTCAAATTGAAATGTTACTTATACATGAAATATTTGTTAGGTATTCCTACTTGAAAGTACTTTGAAAGAATATAATTTTTGGTTCATTTACCTGTGGTGTTCAGATAGTTAATTTGTAAGTACTTCATTTTTCTGCATTCCTCAAATTAAACTGAAAATTATAGTAAGCAATTAAGCTGAGTGTAGTATATATATTTCCCCTGCCTCCCAGAAGTATAATTCTCCTATTATTATTACCGGGGAGGACTGTATTTTCACATACATTGCTTCATTTGAGCTCTTTAGCAACTCTTTAAAATAGATGATTTTTTGCATCATTTGGCTAATAAGGAAACATTCCTGGAGTTTCAAGTGTCTGGAACTCAGGTCTTCCAACTCTTGGTCTAATACACTTTCCATTTCATCAGACTGGTTATAGTAATTTTAAGGGTATTTACCTCTGTATTTTATTAAAATCCTTCCACTTTGGATCTTTTCTGCTCATTTATCTTATGAAATGATGGAATATGACTTGCCATATTCAGTCACTCCTTAAAATTGCTTTGTAGCTGCAGGAAGGAAGGAGGGAACATTTGTTGAATACCTACCATGTACCAGGATCTGTGCTATGTGTTTTCCCATGTTTCTTATTTATTCATTTATTTATTTTTTTTTTTACAGTTTTAAATTTTTTTTTTTTTTAAGCACTCTCTATACCCAACATGAGGCTGGAACTCATGACCCCGGGATCAAGAGTAGCATGCTTTTCCAACTGAGCCAGCCAGGTGCCCCAAAGATTATTTTTTTTTAAGTTTTATTTAAGTAATTTCTACACCTAACATGGGGCTCGAACTCATGACTCCACAATCAAGAGTCATATGCTCTTCCAACTGAGCCAGCCAGGTGCCCCTCATGTTTCTTATTTAATCTTTAATAAATGCTACAGGGTTGATACTGTCCCTGTTTTTACAGATGAGCAAGGGGAAGCTTGGAGACTAAATTTTCTTGCCTAGAACCACTTAGTGTCCACTAGAACCTAGGGTGTGAACCTAGCTCTTTCTGATCCCTAAGCTTTTCTCTTTTCTTTACATTGTGCTTCCTCCACATGACCTCACTGGTAACTTTTTAATCAGTCATGAATTAGTCATCTCTGGTACCGCATAAGGTGGTACATTGCTTTGTCTTCTACTCTTTATATTTCATTTTTCTCTTACTTTCTCACCTTATCTCATGAAGACAGTTGGATTGAGTGTCACAGTGGCATACAAGATATGGTCAAGATACAAAGTCTTAGGATTTGATACTGTGTTTTAAATGAAATACCTTTGGGATAAAATTACTAGAGTTTGGAGAACAACTTATTTAAAAATTCCTTTGTTCTCTTTGATTAAAAATTATGTATTTTAATGAGCATTTTCCTGCAAATTTGCCAATCTTACTTGGACCTATTTCGCATTTCTTCTACTCAAACATTTTACATGGAGATTTTTAACATCATGATGAATAAACTGATAAAAGTTTAGTGGTTTAGTAAAATTTTTATAACATTTGATATTTATAAATACAGGCATATTAGAACTTTGCAGTTCTTATTACATTCAAGACTGGGGAGTATGCATTGTTAAATTACACATTTCAGCAATTACAAAATGGTAATACAGTTTACTTTGTTAGCCGTTAATTATATTAATATCACCAGTATCGTACATTTCCTATTGAATAGAAGATATATTTTTATATTCCTTAAATATTCCTTATTTCTTATTTTAATGTTTTAAATACAAGGACATTAGGATTATTAGCTTTTTACATGATATTAGAAATGAAAAAATGGTTTCTATTTCTGGAAGCTGTCAGTAAAATATCATCTGCCTTACATTTTGGATAACCATGTTTGTGTCATCTTTCAGACTTGGGAAGGAACAGTTACTTGCAGAGGAAGAGGATGATGATTTGAAGGAAGTAACTGATTTGAGGAAAATAGCCGCTCAGTTACTGCAGCAAGAGCAGAAGAACAGGTATTTTTTTCAGTAATGAGATTTAAATAGGCAGACTTTATAATCATTAAATGATTATTCAAAGATTATCAAATGAAGTTTCCAGTAAACAGTAGGACCATCTTAAGATCTATGTCAAGGGACTAACTACTAAAAGACAATAGGAAATAATTAGGAGAGAAGTGTAAAGATATGTACACAATTGACAAATACTTTATATTCACATGGTCATTTTATTTAATTATTGTGTAGGTGTCTCTTTTTTATTCCTATGTGCTATATAATAATAACTGATTTATTTGTTGATATTTATTTTAGCTCACAATAGCATTAGATACATTATAAGCATTTCTCCCCAAGTACATGTCATGTGTATGTAGTGCACTTTTTATCAGATTCCAGATTACTTGGGATATGTGTAAACTCCTTAGAATTGAATGGAATTTTATAATGGTTGATTAAATCAACATGATGATTGGTCACAGGTTCACTTTGGTTTGTTCCTTGGTCAATGACGATTTCTCCCTCTGGCTAAGCTTTCCCCAGATACATGCCATTGGCAATAAGGAAGACGTATGAATGAATATAAAATCAGTGCAAGTCCATTTTTAATACAGGAGAAGTTCTCTGTGCTGCTGAGGGTCAGCTATTATGCCATCTTTATGTACTGAGAGTACTACATTTATTGTTTTGAAATAATAAAGAAGATTTGAGTTTTTTTGTTTGGAGAAAATTAAAAGAATAATTTTGGTGCATTTAACATGGGTAACTAATAAGTACTTCTCTTAACCAAAAAATAAATGTTTGTGGGTCACATGACCATGTTTTGGAACGTTTAAAATTTAAGTACATTGGCATTTGCTTTTAGATATGCTTTGAAAAATAATTACTATTGAAACTTATCAAATTGCAAGTGTCTGGTTTTAAGGGCCACTATTTTTTAAAATAATTACTAAATACCCTTTTTTGTGCAGCTATAAATTCTGCACTTAGAAAATTAAAAACCATACTAGAAAATATCATTCCTCTTTATCCCTTCTTTATCTAATGTATCCTCATTCCCAGTTCACGTTTTTCTTCTACCATAACTTTCTGTCACCCTTTTCTGTGAAATTTATTTTCTAATCTTTTCCTATGATTCATTTCTAATGGACCTTTTTTTATATTGGCTACTTGTGAGGTTATGTATGTTTTTCTCCCTCCAGTATAATCAAAGTATATTGGTCGCCCCCATGGTTTAAGAGGCTTGATGAAGCAAGCCACCACCTGCTCTGTCTAGCTTAAAAAATAGTTGAGTTTCTGTCTCTTCTACCCAACAGGTGAAATAATTGTATTTATCATTATGAGCAGAGAATACTGATTTTAAAAGAACCCACAGCAATATTTATTTCTCTGATTAGGTTAAGAATAGTATTTGAGTGTATAATTTTAGATTTTAACAATGTCATAGATATCATTTCTATATTTTTCAGTTTTCTACTATTTTTCATCTATTCCTATAACTTGAATTATTCTTTTTAGCTTAGAAACAACATCAAATGATGTTTCATAGGTTTTATTTTTGTGATAGTTTTGTAATCTGTACAAAATAGCGCCTAGCACTGTGCCTTGTACATGGTAGGTACTCAGTTAATACTGTATTAGTTAACTGCTTGCTTGAAGATGAGATTAACAAATTTAAAGCTAATAGGAACCATTAATTTAGTTATGTTCATTCTAAATAACTTGCTATTTTTTTAGATGTGTGCAAAAGTAATTTCTCTCTGATGTTTCTCTTCATCAGCTTTTCAGATGTTAGCACATATGAATATAGATCCTTTAAGATAAATATTAATATGCAGTGACATTAATGTAATAATTATGTCCCATTTTGGAAGGCCTTAAAATATTTATGATATCTGGTCATAATGTAAGGAGTACATTTTACTTTTAAAATCTGTAATGTATAGACAATTTAAATTAGATCCTTGGCCAGTTCTGTTCTGTTAATGACTGAACTTAAACTGATCTCAGAATTTTTGTATGCTGAATCTAGCATTTTCTTCACTAAATAATCTCTTCCCTTCTTCTAAAATATGTTGCTGTTGCCCACATCTCTTAGACATAGATAATTAAAATTTTTGTTTGCTATTACAGTACTTGATTTGAGTGAGTCCAAAAAAATCAGAAGTAATCTTCTATAAAGATATATCCATCCCTTAGAGGATTTGATGTTAATTGTACCTTCTCTGGTTATAGATTTTCTCTTTCACACTGTATTGTGTTTTAGGTTCCAACTTTATTAATGACGAATCTGAAATGCTATTTAAAATTGCAAGTCAGGGATGCCTGTGTAGCTCAGTCGGTTAAGCGCCCGACTCGATTTCAGCTCAGGTCATGATCTCAGGGTCGTGAGATTGAGCCCTGAGTTAGGCTCCATGCTCAGCATGGAGTCTGCTTGAAATTCTTTCTCTCTCTCCCTTTGTCCCTACCCCTGCTTATGTGCGTTTTTTCTAAGTAATAAATCGATAAAATCTTAAAACAAAATAAAATAAGATAAAATTGTAAGTCAATCAGGAGTTATAACATTTCATTTTAGGTTTTAACACAGTCATTTTAATGTTTTTGCTTGTTTGTCTTGATTTAAAATGATTTATGTGGAGTAAGATTACCCTCACATATCAGAAAGTACCACCTAGAACTCCTACTCTGACTGTATGCTACTTAACTGTTTTTAGGTAGCAAATAGTTGAAGGTAAATACAGTGTTAGTTTTAGCTGAAAGAAGCCATGCATGTACTCCCGAATTAAAGGCAATTAAAAAACTGCTTAGATTGAGTTTGGTGATGATTTTCTTAAAGCAGCTTTGCCAATTGTTTAGTTCATACTATTCTTAAAGGTGTCTTTTATTCTTTAAATAAGTTTATACTGGTACTTGGTGGTGAAACTACCCTAGGAAAATAACAAGAGGGTATTGCACAGAATTAATAGTGAAAAAGGGTGGGGAAGGAGATGAAATAAATTATCAAGTAGATAACTCACAAGTGTTCAAAGTCTGAAGGCCAGTTTTTAGAAGACTGCTCCCTCTTTGTCTGAGATGCATAGATTAAGCTACTTTGTTTTGATAGTTTATTGTTGAGCTTTTAGAAGCTAATCTTTACCCCCCTTGTTAAAGTACTGGATTATTTCTACTTGTATTTGAGTGTATTGAAGTCCCTCTGAATTGATGAAGCTCCTTATATTAAAATAGCTATTCTGTAAGTTTTTAATCTTCACTAATTTGGGAAATTAAAAAAAACTATCATCTTAAAAAATTATCTTAATGTTCTAAATTATTTAGCTAATTCTTCAAATTTCCACCAACCCTCTTAAATCTAATTATTAGAGAAATAACTACTGTTCTTTTTTTTTTTAAGATTTTATTTATTTTGGGGGGGAAGGGCAGAGGGAGAGGGAGGAAGAGAGAGTCTCAAGCAGACTCTGCGCTGAGCGTGGAGCCTGATGTGGGTCTTGATGTCGTGACCCTGAGATCATGACATGAGCTGAAATCAAGAGTTGGACACTTAACTGCCTGAGCCACCCAGGCGCCCCTGTTCATTTTCTTATACAGATATTCTTATTATGTGGCTGAATAAGTTGATGTTTAGGTGGCTTCTTAAAATTTGTGTGGTTATCATCATAAAGAAAGGATTACGATATATGTGGGCTTTTGCAATGAGTAGCTTCAGTTGACTGGTTCCCATTGCATGTTCACTTCTGCTAACTTGCATAGTATTTTCTGTTATCTTTCTTTTTAATAATTATTTTATTTGCTGTTAAGTGTGTCCTGAGAGTTTTCACGTACTGCGGAAAGATGTGCTTCTTAACTATGTAATATGGCTAAATAAAAAAAAGTAATTTTGAAAAGTTATATTGAAGTATAATTAAGGATCATGGAAAGGAAAATCACATTTTGAGAAGTTTATTATTTTGGTTCAGAATTACAGGAATTATATACATAACCTATTTCATGTGATTTTTTTTTTCTGATCATATATATGAATATTCCAGTTTGAGGGGCATCATGTTAACCTCTAGCTTGTTGTAACTAATTAGGTAGTTCTCCCAACCCTTGAAATCTATCCATTCTTTCTTTTTTGCTTGCTTTACTAATGACTTCCCTGTCCTCTCCCAAAACATCTTACTTCTCCCATCTTTTGGTTTGGTTGATGTACGGGAAATGTGAATACAGATGGAGGCCTTTGTGTTATAGAGCATCATTCAGTGAAAAATTCTTCCAGAGGACCAGAGCAGCAGGACATGCATCAAGGTATCTAGAGTTTGTGGAAACATTAAGTATTAAGGGGCCAGGTTGGTGCAGCTGAATTTTATAGTCATTTACTTAAAATACAGTACTAGTAACTGGGTTAGGGAAATGTGTTAATAATCTAGAATAGATATTTAGATAAAATAGATGTTTATTTTGACTTTGAGTATCACAGAGTAAAACATTAAATACCCATGTATAAACAAGCGTTTACGTAGGGGAATTCTCAAGTATATAAAGTACATTTTATAGGTAAGTGGATCTCAACTTTGTTTTTCTTTCTGCTCCAGTCTGATTTATAGACATCAGTAATTACAATGCTAGTAAGTGTGGTTTGCGGACAATTCAGAATTTACTGTAGTGAGGGCATTGTAGCTTGATCCCTCACCTCCCGCTGTCAGCAATTCTGACATTCACCCCTCAGGACAGTTCTCACTGTTACATCTCCTTTTTAAAAATCACTCTTTAAAGGTGTATTTCTTCCTAATAGTCTTAGATATTTTTTTACCTTAGTTCTTTTGCATTTCGGGATTAAATGCAATTTTAGTATATGTCCATACTAAGAAGAATAAAGGTGGTTTTTGGTGCAAAGCTATACTGCTTTGCCTGTGATACTTGTCCTTTGCTCCTCACTGTGATTTCCTCCTAGGGAGGCTTTAATCCATCCAAGCTAGTGAGGAAACCGAGGTAATGGAAATTGGTTTCTTTAGGTTAACCATCTTTCTGTAATTACCAACTTATCTTTAGCTTATGATATCTTTTAGTAGTAAATATGTGGTTTTAATTTTAAATTATTTTCTCCTCTATGTTTTGATAGTTGACATCCAAAGGTTTTTGAATAAAAGACATATTCCTTATAAGACTAAACTTTAAATTGAAAAGTAAGTTACATTTAAATCTATAGTAAATAAATATTAAGAACTCTTAAATAGGTTAGTGACTTATGTGAAAGAAAGTTATTAATTCATTACTTTTGACTTTGGGATTAATACTTAGAATTCTATAAAATTATGGACAAGTAGTTCTCTCATGATGGTTTGTCGTTCTTTCTCTTTTTTGTTCTCTTCAAATACCATTTCATTTGGGTACTAAAAGTTTAATAAATTTGTGAGCTTTTTTTTAAATAATTGAACTTTAACATGGCTTTACATTTAGAATTAAGATTTGTTATTTGGCTTTTGGCAAAATGGTCATCTGTTGCATCAACATAACTCGTGTCATTTGCTGTGCTGGGAAAATGAAATCAGTCATGATGGCACCTAAACAATCTGCATCTGTTTTTCTGTCTCAGCCAAAAGTTAGATACACACAGGGCAATAGCATGGTTAGAAGATATCCCGGTTTCGAGAAAAGGTTTATAAAAGAAGATGCGTGGAAGAGTTGGTGAGCTTCATTTCTTCATAATAGTCATGGGCATTAGATCTAAATAATATGTAAACATTGTTTTCTAGCAGAGATCTTCATGGACCAGATGCAGTTTATTATGGAGATTTTTTATATCATGTGTAAACACTTTTCTCTTTAATGTGTTTTGGAATTAACGTATTGATTTACTTCTAGGATTCTTAATCATTCAACTTCTGTCCCAAGAAACAAGCCAAAACAAACTATGGAATGCGAAAAGAGGTATAAAAATATCTTAGTCCTTATATTTAGTGTTTTATAATGAAACTTGATTCTCTAACAGTGATTTTCCCATATGTGGGCTTTAATTGAATAAATGATATAGATTTAATGTAACTAGATAATTTAATGAAGAAGTGTGTTCTAGCACCAATTAAATTTACTTTCGATATAAACAAATTCAAAAATGCTGATCTGATCTCTTTTTGTGCTCATACCTGCATTTTGTTGTAATGATAGAAGCATTTATTAACTCAGCAAACCATTTATTGTATGACCATTACTGCTGGGAATAATGTGTTTCTTCATCATGGTGTTTGTTCTGTTATCATTCACTTTTTATTTCATTTCAATTGAGTTTTACTAAATTCTTCTATATGAATACAGGGTCTAAGTTAATATGTATGAATTCCAGAGAACTAGAAAACCTTGAAAGTTTCTATTTATCTTTTTGGCAGTTTGAAAATTTGCATCAGGTTCAATTCCTGGGCCATTCCTGTAGGAGTGTAAAGGTCCAAGTCTTCGGGTAGGGTGGGTATAGCAGCATACACAGAGAGAATTAACATTTCTTGAATGCTTTTTATACGCAAACTGTTCTGAGTGGGTTAGATGTCTTATCTCATTTAATCCTCATAATAACTCTATGAAGTTGTTACTGTTGTTACCCCATTTTGTAAGGGAGAAAACTGAGGCTCAGAAATTACCATAATTTGCTCAAGGTCATACAGTTAGTAAGTGGTACAGTGAAGATTCAAGCTCAGGTTGTGTGGTTCCAGAACCCCAAGTCTTAACATATGGTAACAAGAACATTTTGCTTCCTTGAGATTCACACATCCCACTGATATCTTTTCCTGGATACCTCACAGTCTAAACTAAACTTATTTTTTCCCAAATTTATTTCTTCTCCTATATCGTTTGCCTGAGTGAGTGTGCCACTACTCAGTCACCTAAATCAGCAACTTTGAAATCATCAGAAACTTCTCTCTTATGCACCCCTCCCAATCTAGTCAATCACAGAAAATTATAGCTTGTTTTATTTTTGTTTTTATTATTTTTTATTATTATTTTTAAAGATTTTATTTATTCATTCGAGACAGGGATACAGAGAGAGAGAGAGCATGAGCAGGGGGAGAGGCGGAGGGAGAAGCTGGCTCCCCGCTGAGCCAGGAGCCAGACGTGGGGCTCGATCCCAGGACCCTGGGATCATGACCCGAGCCGAAGGCAGATGCTCAACCATCTGAGCCACCCAGTGCCCCATATTTTTTAAAGAGTTTATTTATTTATTTGAGAGACGGAGAACACGCACAAAGGGAGAATGAGAGGGAGAAGCAGACTTCCCGCTGAGCAGAGAGCCCGATGTGGGGCTCCATCCCAGGAGCCTGAGATCATGACCTGAGCCGAAGGCAGACGCTTAACTGACTGAGCCACCCGGGTGCCCTGAAAATTATAGCTTCCCAGCATTACTTGCATCTATCCCAACTTCTCCATTCCTAGCACAGCCATGTATGTTGGTTTAGGCCCCATCCTTTTCCTCCTGGATTACTGCAACAGTCCCCAGACATATCTCCATGCTTCACTTTTGCCTACCTTTAAGTTTGTCTTCTGCACTGATGTAAGAGTGATGGTTCTAAAACCATCTAACTGTGTGACTGCCATTTATTATCTTCTACTGGTTCCTTATCACTTTTAGGATAAAGCTGAAAATGCTTAACCCGTAAGATTGAAGTGAGTTTCTGCCTTCCTTAAACCTTAGCATGCACTCTTCCACTGGCACCTTTTGCTGTTAGGAACAGTACTTTGTTTTTTTATTCTGTCATGGTTTCACATCTCTGTGTTCTAGATCCTGGTTTCTCTACTGGGATTGCCTTTTCTTCTTTTTTTCACTTAGGCTTTCAGAATTCAGTTCAAGTGTAAAGATGACTTTTTATACTCAAGTCTAGAAACATTCCTCTACTCAAATTTCATTAATTGGATTTAACCCACTCCCACCCTTTTTAAATACTGATTCTGTTATCTTATATATTTGCTCTCCTTAAAGTTTGTGTTATTCCTTTCCCCCTCACTTCCTTTCATTCCCATCTTAAGCTTCCTCTCCAGGCTCCTAATATTCTCTTGAGAAAGACCCAGTTGCCCAAACCTCAAAAGTGTGATATCTAATCCTGGCCTCTCCTTCATAGAACTATTATTATTATTATTTTTTAAGATTTTATTTATTTATTTGACAGAGAGAGAGAGACAGTGAGAGAGGGAATACAAGCCGGGGGAGTGGGAGAGGGGGAAGCAGGCTTCCCGATGATCAGGGAGCCTGATGCAGGGCTCAATCCCAGTAGCCTGGGATCATGACCTGAGCCAAAGGTAGACACTTAATGACTGAGCCACCCAGGCACCCCATAACTATTGCTTCTACTTTTCTCATTTTCAAAACAATCGCTCAATTTTTTCTTTAAAAACAAAATTAAAAAAAATATTTTCCTGATTATAAGATTAATGTAGCTTTATTGTTGAAAAATTGTAAAATTTAGCAAATGCAAATAAATAAATAAATATCACCTATTATCCCACTCTCCAGAGATGACAAGTCATAGTATTTTGGTATTTTTCCCTTTAGACCCTTTTTCTATCTGTGTGCATGAATATTTGCACGTGCATGTGTTACATATATATACACCACAGAGTTGTATAACCTGTTGCCTACTCAGCACCTCCACGTGGTTGTATAATAGGCATATGAAACTTAACTTTCCAAAACCACACTCTTAATCCCTCCTTGTATGTCTTGAATTTTTTTTTTTTTTAAAGATTTTATTTATTTATTTGACAGAGAGTGAGATAGCGAGAGCAGGAACACAAGCAGGGGGAGTGGGAGAGGGAGAAGCAAGCAGGCTTCCCGTGGAGCAGAGAGCCCGATGGGGGGCTCGATCCCAGGATGCTGGGATCATGACCTGAGCTGAAGGCAGACGCTTAACGACTGAGCCACCCAGGCGCCCCTCTTGAATTTGTTTTTCCTGTATTTTTTCCCATTTCAGAAAATATCAACTCATCCTTATAGTTGCTCAGCTCATTAACCTTAGAGTCAACCTTGAATTAACATGTCACTTTCTTTCACATGCCTTATCTAATCCAATAGCAAATCTTGTTGATTCTACCTTCAAAATATACCCAGAATCTGATCACCTCTTACAACCTTCACACCTACCACCCTAGCCCTTGCCATGTTTTTTAAAAATATTCTTTATTTTTATTCTTTATTTTTATTCTTTTTACTTTTTTTTCCTTCCAAGTTTTTATTTAAATTCAAGTTACTTAACATGTAGTGTAATATTGGTTTCAGGAGTAGAATTTATTGATTCATTACTTAACACCTAGTGCTCATCACAAGTGCCCTCCTTAATACCCATTACCCTACTAGCCCATCCCCCCACCCACCACCCCTCCACCAATCCTCAGTTTGGTGTCTATTAACTGTTTCTTATGGTTTGCCTCCCTCTCTGTTTTCCTCTTATTTTATTTTTCCTTCCCTTCCCCTATGTTCATCTGTTTTGTTTCTTAAATTCCAAATACAAGTGAAATCATATGATAGGTCTTTCTCTGACTTTTTTCAGCTCTAGCCATCTCAACTTCAGTTACATAAGCCTCCTAACGGGTTTCCTGCCCTTGCTTTCCTTTAGTCTGTTTTTCAAAAAAGCATCAGATTGTTGAAATGTAAGTCAGATCATATCACTCTTCATAATTCTCTAATGACTTCCCATCTCATTCGGAATAAAAACGAGAGTCCTTTAAGGACTTACAAACCTCTACATTATTTGGCTCCCTCCTGTCTTCCTCTCTTGCCTGGTCTTCCTGGTTAGTTAGTTCCTCTCTAGCTATACTATATACTAGGTCTCCTTGTTGCATCTCAATACACCAGGCATTTCCTGCTCCCTCAAGGCTTTGCCTCTGCCTGAAATGATTCCCCCCTAGATAACCATATGGCTTATTCCCTTGGAGTCAGGTTTCTGCTCAAATTTCACTTCATCAGCAAGGGGTTCCCTGGACAACTTAAATAAAAGAGCATGCCTCCCCCACTTCTTTGTCCTTTTTCCCATACCTTGTTTTATTTTTCTCCAAAGAACTGAATACCCTCGGGGCGCCTGGGTGGCTCAGTCGTTAAGCGTCTGCCTTCAGCTCAGGTCATGATCCCAGGGCCCTGGGATCGAGCCCCGCATCGGGCTCCCTGCTCGGCGGGAAGCCTGCTTCTCCCTCTCCCACTCCCCCTGCTTGTGTTCCCTCTCTCGCTGTGCCTCTCTCTGTCAAATAAATAAATAAAATCTTTAAAAAACAAAAACAAAAAACTGAATACCCTCTGACATTCTAAATTTATACTTTTTTGCCATCTGGCATTCTGAATATATACTTCTTTTATTTGTTTACTGTTTGTCTTCACCACCACACCACCCCCTAGGCACACTACAATGTCAGTTTTATCAGTTATTAAGAGAAGACTATTGAAATCTCCAAGACTAATGGGGGATTTGTCTTTGAAGTTCTGTCATTTTTCCTTCATATATTCATATACTCTGTGTTAGATACATAAATGTTTAGGACTGTAGTGTCCTCTTGGTGAATTTATAGCTTTGTCATTTTGAAATGACATTTTTTATATTTCTGGTAATATTCTTTGAAGTCTACTTTTCTGATATTGTATAGTCATCTCAGCTTTCTTTTGATTAGTGTTAACATGATAGATACATGTTTCTCCATCCTTTTATTTTTAAGCAATTTGTGTTTTTGTGGAGAGAGTGGGTTTCTTGTATTTAGCATATGGTTAGCATCTTCCTTTTTTTATTTAATCTGACCATCTTTTAATGGCAATGTTAATATTGTTTATATTTAATGGAATTATTGATATTACTGTATTTAAATCTACCATCTTCTTTTTTTTTTTTTTTTAAAGATTTTATTTATTTATTTGAGAGCGAGAGTGAGAGAGAGAAAGAGCACAAGAGGGGGGAGCGGGAGAGGGAGAAGCAGACTCCCCGCCGAGCAGGGAGCCCGACATGGGACTCGATCCTGGGACTTCAGGATCATGACCTGAGCCGAAGGCAGTCGCTTAACCAACTGAGCCACCCAGGCGCCCTAAATCTACCATCTTCTAATGTGTTTTTGTTTTATCCTTTATAGACATCTTTCCTCTTTTTAATTTTATTTTAAAGTTCCTATTTATCTCCTTCATGGGCTTATTAGCTATAATTTTTTGTTATTGTACATTAGAGATTATTTTAGGGTTTAAAGTATAGTGTTTAACTGGGACACCTGAGTGGCTCAGTCAGTTAAGCGTCTGCCTTTGGCTCAGGTCATGATCCCAGGGTCCTGGGATCAAGTCCTGCATCGGGCTCCTTGCTCAGTGGGGAGCCTGCTTCTCTCTCTGCCCGCCGCTCCCCCTGTTTGTGTGCTCGCTCTCTTTCTCTGACAAATAATAAATAAATAAAATTAAAAAAATAAAGTATAGTGTTTAACTTATCGCGGTCTACCTTCAAGTGCTATTATGCCATTTCATATATTGCATAACTTTACAACAGTATACTTCTCTTTCTTCCCTTTTGGCCTCTGTGGTGTTGTTGCTGTACATTTTACTTATATATATGTTATAAACCCCATAAAACATTGTTATTATTTTTGCTTTAAAGAGTCAATTATTTCTTTTCTTTTTTTTTTTTTAGATTTTATTTATTTATTTGACAGAGAGAGACACAGCGAGAGAGGGAACACAAGCAGGGGGAGTAGAAGAGGGAGAAGCAGGTTTCCTGCAGAGCAGGGAGCCTGATGCGGGGCTTGATCCCAGGATCCTGGGATCATGACCTGAGCCGAAGGCAGACGCTTAACGACTGAGCCACCCAGGCACCCCTCAATTATTTCTTTAAAGAGATTTAAATAATCAGAATAATGTCTTTTATCCTTCCTCCCTTAGTTACCATCTCTTTCTAGTAGCTCTGTATTCCTTTGTGTAGCTCTGTATTTTCATGTATAATTTTCTTTTTACCTGAAGGAGAAACTTTAACACTACTTTTATTACTGGTCTGCTGGTGTTGAATCCTTTCAGCTTCTGTATGAGAAAGTCTTTGTTTCACCTTCATTTTTGAAAGCTATCTTTGCTGATACAAAATTCTAGGTTGACATTTTTGTTTTCTTTCAGTACTTTATTTTTTTTTTGAATGTGGGAGAAACTGTTCCTTGAAATCAACATTGGAATTTATTATGTACCTATTGTACATTTTTTAAAAAGATTTTGTTTTTTCATTTGAGACACAGAGATACAGAGAGAGAGCGCATGAGCCAGGGGGAGAGGGAGAGAGAGAAGCAGGCTCCCTGCTGAGCCAGGAGCCCGACGTGGGGCTCTCTCCCAGGACCTGGAGATTATGACCTGAGCCGAAGGCAGATGCTTAACCATCTGAGCCCTCCGGGCACCTGTCTTTCAGTACTTTAAAGAATTTTCTCCACTGTCCTCTGGATTGTGTTGTTTCTTATGAAAATTCTGTTGTGAGTGTTTGTTTCATAGAACCTAATGTTTCGTTTTTCTCTGGCTGCTGTTTACGTTTTCTTTTTATCATTTGTTTTTAAGTAATTTGATTATGATGTATCTTAGTGTAGTTTTCTTCATTTTTCTTTTGCTTGGAGTTCTTTGAGCTTCTCAAATTTGTGGGTTTATTGTTTTCAGGAAATTTGAAAATTTGGGGCCCTTATTTCTTCTTTGGGGCCCAGATATAATTTCTGTCCCCTGACCTATTCTTCTGGAACCCCAATTATATTTATATTAGGCTACTTGAAGTTTCCCACCAATCACTGAGTTTCTGTTCAGTCCTCTTCAATATTTTTCTTTCTGTGTTTGATTTTTCTTTTTAATTTTTTAAAGATTTTATTTATTTGAGAGAGAGAGCACAAGCAGGGGGAGCAGGAGAGAGAGAAGCAGGACCCCAGGATCATGACCTGAGCTGAAGGCAGACACTTAACTGACTGAGCCACCCAGGCGCCCCCTGTGTTTGATTTTTGATAGTTCTTTTACTAAGTCTTTACTTTCACTAATCATTTCTTTTTTTTTTTTTTTTTTTTAAGATTTTATTTTTAAGTAACCTCCATCCCAACATGGGGCTCAAATTTAAAACCCCGAGATCAAGAGTCTCATGCTGTACCAGCTGAGTCAGCCAGGCTCCCCTCTATTAAATGTCCAATCTACATTTAATCCCATCCAGTTTTTTTTTTTAATTTCAGGTGTTGTACTTTTCATCTCTTGAACTTTGATTTTTATTTATTTTATGTCTTTTGTGTCTGTACTTAACATGTTTAGTCTTTTCCTCTAGCTTCTGAACATTACCTGATTCAGTTTTTGATTGAATGCTGGACATTGTGAGCTTTACCTTCTTGGGTGCTGGATTTTACAGTATTATAAATATTCTTGAACTTTGTTCTAGGACGTGGTTAAATTACTTGGCGACAATTTGATATTTGTGGGATTTGGTTTTATGACTTACTATGTGGAATCAGTGTGGCATTTAGTCTAGGACCAGATTTGGCCCCCTACTGGAGCAAGACTTTTCTTAGTACTATAGCTGATGCCCCGTGAACTATATGCTTTTCCAGTCTGGCTGGTGGGAACTGGTATTATTTACTCAGTCCTCTCAGAGTTGGAGAATTATTCTATCTAATCTTTCTGGTTGTTCATTCTTTTGCCTAGTGTAGTTTTCTCATACATATGATCAGGGCTCAGTACTCTGTTAAAATTTTAAGAATGCTTCTGTAGAACTTTTAAGTTCTTTCTCTGTGCATTGCTTTTTTCTCTATTACTTTGTCCTGTTAATTCCATCCATCTTTTTCACCCTGGCTCCCAGCTCTGTCTCCTCAGTTCAGGGAGCCCCATGGGCCTTACTCTGGTTCTTCCTCTCTGGGCTAGAAGCCTAGAAACTCTTTTCCTGCAGCAACCTGATGCAGTTATGGGGTTTCCCTTGTTTGTTACCCATCTGTAAGGGATAAAATGTCTTTTTTTTTTTTCTTGCCTGATACTCAGTGTCTTGGAAAGCAGAATTTTATATATTTTGTCTGTTCTTTTAGTGTTTTCCATCACGGCATAAATCTGATCACTGTTATTCTATCTTGGCCAGATGGAAAGTCTAATTCTTACATTTTTTTGTGTTTTGTCAATATTTAGTTTAATTGTTTCTTCCATATACCCCCTCTGCCCCAACATTTAAAAAATTACTGCCCATATTTTTCATATACTTATGTGATTTCATCTTTATTAATATTTAAATCTTTTAGTCATTAATTTTGGTATTTGATATGAGGTAAAGTATTTAGTTTTTTTCTTCCTCTCTTGCACCCTCTCTCCTTCTTTTTCTCACTCCCTGTTCTCCTCACCCTCTGTTTTTCTTTCTTTCTTTCTGTGTTTGTTTTATAATTGGTTAATCAGTTGTTTCAACACTATTTGCTACATAACCTATCATTTCTACGACTATTGTGAATTTCATTTCTTAAATCATAAGTTGTTACATGTGTGGTCCTGTACTTGTCTCCCACTGGAAAATCTATAAATTCTGGATCTAGTAGTATTTAATTACTTTAATTTAATAGAATATATGCAATTATGTAACTTTTCTCTTCTTTATCATTCAGTCTTCCAAATTAACTTCGAAATTCTTTTATCAAATATTTAATATAAACCCCAAAATACTTTGTTTTTTTATTATAGTTTACTTGAGCTGTCAATTAATTTGAAGAAGTTATACCTATAATATTTAGTCTTTCTAAGAATTTTCCAGTTATTCAGTTTCCTTACTAGACATTGGTAGGGTTTTTTTTTTTTTTTTGAGGGAGAGCATGAACGGGAACGGGGAACAGGGTTGGGGGCAGAGGGAGAGAGAGAATCCCAAGCAGGCTCCATCTCACACCCCCAAGATCATTACCGGAGCCGAAATCAAGTGTCGGATGCTTAACTGATCATGCCACTCAGGTGCCCCAACATGGGTAGTTTTTTTTATGTAGGTTTTATGCATGTCTAAGTTAAGTTTGTTCCTAGTATTTTTGCTTTTCCTTCCTTTTATGAATGAATTTTTTTCCTAATATATTTTATAGCTTATTATAATTGATACATGAGAAAGCTATTAAGTTTTGTATATTTTTTTTATAACTGGTAACCTTCTTTTAATAATAATAGATTTTTCCCCCTTGGATAATCATGTCTTCCATAAATTTTGAAAATTTCTTTCTTTCTCTCTAATTTTTAAATGTTCTTTTCTTACTGTATAATAGAGAAGTTCTACAACAGTGTTGAATAATAACAGTTCTAGTGGGCATTTTGTCTGTGTATTTTTTCCAAAGGAACTTCTTACCTAATGACAACATGTGCGGTCTACTTTCCTGACAAAAATAGATGAAAAGAATTTCTACCATAGCCCCTGTGTGTCAGAATGAAGGGTTAGAGGTTCATAATTTGTAATTCAATAGTCAAAGAATTACTCCCCTAATCTCTTTGGCATTTAAACAAAATAAATTTGTATAAAATTATTAGTTTTTTGTAATGATTTAATGTAATAAACATTCTGTTTTTTCACTGTATGTCTAGGTATTACATTTCTTTTGGCCTCTAAAAAGTCCTTAAAGTAGTCCTTTGCATAGGATGATATTAAATAAACTCATTTTGATGTTTTTTTAAAGGAATAGAAGTGATTGGGAACTTAAATATGATTTTGTCGACTTTAAGTTTTATGTTATTAGTTCAAACCATAGACATGGGTAAATTCTTTAGATTTCTGGTTAAAAAATAAAGAGACAACTTTATATTGTTCAAAATAAATTCCTAAGGGTAATTCTAAATTTTTTAACATATTAAGGCATCTTTAATTTTGTAGTGTCTCAGCAGATGAAGTTAATTCTCCGTTATCACCCCTCACATGGCAGGTAAGAGGAAAATGAATTTCTGTTATATCTAATATTTTGTTCTCATTTATTTAGTTAAAAGAAATTGTCTCATTGTTACAGCCCTTAGAAAATCAGAAGGATCAAATAGATGAACAGCAGTGGCCAGAATCTCAACCTATAATCTGGCAGAGTGAAGAAAGGAGGCGGAGCAAACAGATTAGAAAAGAATATTTCAAGGTACTTTATTAAATTGCAAAATTTACTTTGTAATTATTAGTTTTGATTTTATAAGTTTTGTATTAATTACGTAGACTATAACTAGTTACGTATAGTAAATGTGTTATTTTATCTTGGTTTCCCACATGCATGGGTATAGATAATATGATCTAGTTAAATATATAAAATTTCAGTAATTTAGGATAATTAAGAATGACATTGTAGATCAATGTGAATTGTGATTTACCAGATACTTGACATGAAAGATGAATGTTTGCTATACTGCTAGTTGTAGCAATATGTAGTTATGTTTTAAAAGAATTGCCTAGAAAAGGTCTTTCAGTAGATTTCTTTCACTATATAGTTCGCATATATTTGCAATTAGCATTTAACTGTTTCTGTCTAAATAAATGCTATTTACATGGCTCTAAAAATACTTACAAGTGTTTCTCCCCCATTTTTTCTTCTTGCACCCTTGGATTTCTTAAGATGATCTTTTATCTTAGTTAAAAACTTAAGACTATTTGAATTATCTCAAATTTCTAGTTAACAGGTTTTTAATGAAATTTTACTGTGTATACCTTTGTAAATATTGTAATATTATTCATTTGTGTTTAAAGTCTGCTATGTTTATAGACACCAGTGGAATTAGCATAATCTTCAGTACTAGTCAGAATCCATTATTGGAATTCCTGACACAGATGAACAGTGCAGACAAGCTTCCTACCCCATGAATACCCAATTCTGTTGTTTTTGTGCACCTTTCTGTTTCCCAAAGCCTAATTTTTATCTAATAATAATAATTTTATGTAAATACATGGTTCTGTGCTAAATTATAGGTAGTTTGATGTTTATATCACTAACGGATAAGATTATATTTCATGGTTTTCTCTGTTTGAGTGAAGTGGTTATCTGTACACATTGATCTGTTTCCTTATATGGGAATATAACATATTTGGAAGTAGTATCATACGACCAAAACAAGAATGTTATGTGTCATAGCAAGTCTGTGATAAGTTTCATCCTCCTACAAGTAATTACTGAATCCTTTTATTGAGCTTCATGTTACCTGGTCAATATGAGAGATAATGAAGAAATAAAAGGGAAAAATAACAAGGACATTTCTAAACAGAACCCTGGTCAGTAACGGTGAAAGTCTGTTTATCCCAAGTCTTTACAGATTTGCAGTTATATTGACATTCTGACATTTATTTCAGAATCTCCTCTTTCAGTTTATAGGACCTTGAACAAAGGCCCTCAATAAAATTTGTTAGTAGATAAAACCTGATGAATGAGTGATGGTGTGGGGAAATTTTAGTTTTTCTGACTAATGGAAGAGATTTTGATATTTATTTGATCTACTAGTAAAGTAAAAGCATCTAAATTCTGACAGTTTATCAAAACACTTGCATAGCACTTACTAAGTGCCAGGTACTGTTCTAAGTACAAATATCAACTCATTTAATATTCATAATAACCCTATGAAGTAAGTACAATTATCATTCCTATTTTATAGATGGGGAAATTAAGGCACAGAGAGGCTAAGTAATATGCTTTATGTCACTTAGCTAATAAGCAGCTGAGCCAAGATTTGAACCCAGAGCCTATGCTAAACTGCCTGTTTATCTACTGCGGATAGCCTAATATCAAATGAAAACTTTCAAATCGATAGTTTTATTGTTTATAAAAATACAGTAACCCAAGTGAACTTCTCAATAAAGTCTTAATAGAAGCCTCAGTGAGCCTTTAAAAAAATAGTTCTTTGATTTAGTAGCGTCATTTGTTAAATATTTTATTTTTTAAGGCTTAAACATACGTCCTATAATATTTCTATTTTATAAGTCGCTAAGAGATCAATTGAGGTAATCTTTGAAATGTCCATTACGTTATCATCATTCAACAATTGTTAATTTCTTCCATGCTTTTAATAAAGTGGGTGCAAAATTAAGCTTTAGTCATTGGGAAATAGTTTAAGGAGATGTGTAGTTCTCCTCAATAGTCAGAAGATGTCAGTGTTAGGACACTGAAAAAAATTGGATGTCAACAGTTTTTTTCCTAAGATGTAAAAAAAGATATAAACCTGAGATACTACTTCTAAGTTAAAACCATTATTCAGAATCGCCAGTATTTTCTTGCTTAAGACGTCATTGATACCTATGAAGTGTCTTTATTTCAAAATAAAATTTCTCTTACTTAACCACCCATCTCCCAAGAATCAAAAGGTTTTATTCATAGGATATATTACTGAACTTACTCTGGATTTATAGTTGATTAAACATGGAAAAATATACTGCTTTAGAGATTTATATCCAAATATCACCAAGCTCACTCAGTGATAGCCCCGTTAGCTTTGTGGTGTTAAGAAACATACGGAGATTTCGTGCAACTTTATCCTAACACATGTAAATGACTGAGCCACAAGATTTCTTTGTGTTCCATGGTAAATTATTAATGGCATTGTTGTTATTCAGTATATTTATTGAAAGTGTTTGTGTGTATGTCTGTGTATGTGGATCTCTTCATTTATTATTTCTCAGTTGCCAAGACTGATTTTGGATAGTAATGTTTTCCAGGTAAGCCTCTGAAACTAAGTAAAAAAGGTATCAACATATTAGCCAGATTATGTGAGCAAGAAGATAAATTGGGTCAGATTATATGAGTAAGTAAATCACTGGAGGAGAGTTACACTAACTCTTCTAGACTCCCAGACCACTCTTGTATAGATTACTACTCTACTAAATAAAACAATGTCCTCATGGCCAAAATAAAGTCACTGCATTTTTCAAAGCAGAGGTATCTCAGGAAATACATTACTTTATTAAAAATCTTTTACAGAAAGGCAAATGTATTTTACAGAAAGGTATTAATGCTTTTAATAAGATACACAACAAAATATGAACATCTAATTTTTTGATAAATTATGTTTAATATAAATTAGTAGCTTTAATTTCTTCTAAAAATAATAATACATGGCTTTCTAAATACACTTGATTGATTTCTAAACAAGAAAGTTAAAAAGCATTAGAATAACTATACAGTATTAGTTTTAAGGATTATTTGATTTATTGAAATGCCATATATGTCTTCAAGTGTATCTTATTAGTGTTATGATAAAACATTATAATGACCCTTAAAATACATATCTGATTTCATAAATACAGTATATCTTCATTTAAAGGCTGATGCCAAGGAAAATATTTTTATATATTTTCTCTGATCATGATTAATTTTATACCGGATTAAGGAAGCCAACTGGGTTTGTGAAATAACCTGATTTGTTTTGTTCTCAGTTCTCAACACCTTTTTTGTTTCTCTGGTTTGTAAATTGGTCTTTACTATATTATTTGAATTTAGATATAATAAACTTCAGTTATTCAGACTCATACTAATTGAGGAAAGCTGAATTGATTCAATAAAAGTTGGACTTATAGAACATTCTCAAACCTGTGCACATACTAGGTTTTGGGTGTTAGGACCTTTAAGTCTGTGCAGTAATGCAAACTAAGGAGTACCTTTCTAAGTTTTCATATGTAATGAATATTTTTAATTAGAAGTGTAGTTGAGTAATAGTAATACAAGTCTCATTATCTATGTTCTTGGCCTCATTACACTCTTTCTTTCCTTTATCAGTTATTCACTCACTCTTCTACATCCTTTCCATCTCTTTACTTGCCATCTGATACATAGGCTCAGACCTCTGCACTTTTCCCCAAGTCCCCTTGCAGCTGTTGCCTTGTCTCTTTTCTTTTAGGGCCAGACTTACCATTTCTATATGTCCAGTTTCTGATCACTCCTTAACCCACCACAGTCTGGCTTCTACTTTCATTTCTCCATTGAAATAGCTCTTTACCTAGAGAATATGTACCTAAGAATTTGACAGCTATGGCCACCACATTGGTCTTCATGAAACTCCTGTCCTGGTTTCTATCTCATTTTTCTTCCTTGGTTCTTCTGTTTTCTTTTGGATGTTCTTCTTTCACTTCTCTTCTGACTTTGCTTCTGCTTGCTCTTAGGGGCTCATCCTCTTTTCATTACCCTAAAAACTCTCTCTGAAGCTTTTATGACTCCAGATGTCTCATATTCTGGCGGGTCTAAATTTACATCCCATAGCTTTTTTCCTGGTCTTCAGACCTGTTTCTAATTGTCTGGATGCCCTACATGTATTTCAAGTTTGGTATGTCTCTCCCTCCTGCCCTTATCCCCCATGGAACTTGCTCCTCCTCTCTCTTCTTTATTCGAGTTAATAGTAGCAGTGTCTGTCTGGTTGTCTGTGCTCTATACGTCAGTCCTCCTGGATCTTTCCCTCTCTCATTCCTCTCACCTAATTGATCACCAGGATGTTAATTATATGTCCTTTCTCCAATTCATCATTTCTTCTCCATCTCTACTGCCCTTGCTTTTGTTGGAACCCTCATTCTTTCTTGTCTAGGCAATTGTAATAACTTGTTAATTTGCCTCCCTTTCTGGAGTTTCACAGTCCTTAGAGAAATCCCTGGCTTAAATTTGTTTCTTGGCTATTATCAGTAACACAAAGTTTGGGCTTTTAAAAAACTTAAGACGCCATGCTCACCTACTTCTCGGAGTTTTATTACCTGCCACAATTCACTCTCCTCTCTAGCCATATGGCTATTATTTTTTAAAGATTTATTTATTTATTTTTAGAGAGATTGAGAGAGAGAGAGAGCATGGGTGGGGAGGGGCAGAGGGAGAGGGAGAGAGAAATCTCAAGCAGACTTCCCGCTGAGTGTAGAGCCCAATGGGGGCCTCGATCTCACAACCTTAAGATCATGACCCTAGCTGAAACCAGGAGTTGGACGCTTAACCGACTGTGCCACCCAGGCACCCCGCCATACTGCTACTCTTTGTTTTCTGCATAGGCTGAGCTTTTTATTTTTATTTTTTTTAAAGATTTTATTTATTTATTTATTAGAGAGCGAGCGAGAGAGAAACAGCATGAGAGAGGAGAGGGTCAGAGGGAGAAGCAGGCTCCCCGCTGAGCCGGGAGCCCGATGTGGGACTCGATCCCAGGACCCTGGGATCATGACCTGAGCCGAAGGCAGTCGCTTAACCAACTGAGCCACCCAGGCGCCCTAGGCTGAGCTTTTTAATTCCTTTGTGCTTTCCTTCTTCTGAGAATGCCCACTAGCCGTTTTTATTCCTGGCAAACTTATACTAATCATTCAGGATTTAGAGATGGTAGTATAGCATAGTGGTTAAGAGCCTTGGCTTCTAGGATCAAACCACTTTGGTTCCAGTTTTTAACTTGGATATTGACTAACTGTGTGACTTTGACAAATCACGTAACCTTGCTGAGCTTAATTTTTTTTCTATCCTCAAATGACTCTAATAGTGTCTTCTTTTACAGGATTCTTATAACTACTGAATTACTTGATAATGTAAAGTGGTTATGAGAATAGCACTTGCCACAAATTATACATTTAATAAATATTAGCTTATTATTCACTCCAATGTCATTCTTTTGTTTTGGTTTTTGTTTTTGTACCAGTCATCTTTTATCAGGTATTACTTCTCAGTTAAAATAGGAAAGTATTCAGCAAATATCAGGGATGCCTGACAAAGAAGGTCATGGTCAGGAATGCAGACTGCGCTCTCCACAGTGAGCCCTCTTCAGTGATACATGTGTAGCTGTTTATGTTTGAGTTCCTTGAATGAAAGGTAATAGTTGAAAAGCATGTAAGATGCCAGCAACATAGAAACCCCAATGATGTTTCCTTTCTTCACATTGACATACTTGTGATACTGGTAGTAACCTCTTTGAAACAATCCAACCGTGCCTTTAGGGGTGAGATCCTGCAACAGTATTCAACTTGACAGCTCCTCTGTTTTGATGTCCATGAGTTTTTCTCCTTTACTGTTATGACTGATGCCATCTTCAGGTCCTAGGGTCTGCTGTGCAAATGTCACTCTTTTGTTGAAGTAGAGTAGAACCAAGAATACATACTGTCAGCAAGCATCATGCCTAGGGGTGGCAAGTAGGTTTTTTCACACAGGCCAACTCCATTCACTGGCTATCTGGAACATTGGGTTGCAAACATATTGAGACAATGTCTGGGATCAGCTGGAAAGAGCACCCTGGTAGATTAGTGATAGTTGTCATAAATCACTGGAGAGACAATGAAGGAATTTAGATCTGTATTTGTAATCCCTAATACTGCTTGCCTCCCAATCTGTGGTTGAGCTATCAGGTAGATTATCTAGTTTTCTAAGAGTTAAGGAATATAAAGCTGCATAAGTAAAGGGGGCTATTAAATAGAAGTTTGAATGCCAGGTAAAGAAATTTGAACATAATTTGAAAGTAGGTGTTTCAGTAGGGGAGTCATGAGTTAAAAGTAGTGTTTGGAGTGTTTAAATCTGCCACTAATTTGCAGGATTATTTGTGGTGAGGAGGATTTAGAAATAAGAACCCTAGAGGACTTTAAAATAAGAACTCTAATGGTTGTCACACTGTATTTCTTTAATTCTTGATTCTAAAAACAAGCGCTTTTCCACATACTAGCATTTTTTATTTTAAGCATATGACCTTCTGCCTCAGTATAAAATACAGATAATAGTATTTACTTTAACATTGTTAGGATGATTAAATGGGTTGATATATGTAACACACATTCGTCAGTGCCTGGTATATAGTAAACACTTATATAAATATTAGCTATTATCACTATTACTGTTACTGTATAGTCAATATATATATCTAACATAATGGTTTTTCTTACCTGAAATCAGTAGGTTTCTTAACAATAGATGGCGTTTTTGAATAGTGAGATTACCAACTAGGTGTGAGGTAATGGGGGCCTAGGATAAGTTGGTGGTTGTAAGAATTCAGAAGTAAGTCTGAGAGACTATACAGAAAGAATTGACAATGATGTTTTGGATATAGTGGATTAAGAAAAACGGAGAGCTTAAGACAACTTTCAGATAGAAAACCTGAATGAATGGGAAGTGGATTGGCTCAGGAAGGAAATGTTAATAGGTATATAGAATGATGCCTTGCACATGAAATCACTGTATGTGTTAGCTATTAGTAAGTGGTAGGACCGTTTAAACTGGTTATATAATTAAAGTTAGTATCAGATGATTTAATAAAAGTACCAAAATATGAATAAACCTCACTTATAATTTACTGGTAGAGAACTCATATGTTCAAAGAAAAATAAAGTGTATGTTTTAAATATTTTTCAGTATAAATCATCAAGGAAGAGTTCAAGTGGCAATGAAAACGATGAGGTGAGAAAAGAGGGTAATAGTAGCAATTATTTAAAATGTTCACTTTTCATATGTAGTTGGCTCAAAGTAAAAGGTAATACCTCTGTCAGTTTCTTGGTTAGTGATTTAATGCATGGGTTTTTTCCAGTAATAAAAACTGCGTATCATCATGCAATTACTAATTTAATTATGTAATTTCCATATATCCTTTATTTTGAACCGAATTTCTAATAGTTCAGTTTTAGAATTTTATTAACATTTGTCTTTTACATTTTCTCATCTTTTGTCTTCCTGAATCAACCTCGTCGTCAGTTGAGATTCTTTTGGAATTTATTAATCTTTTTCTACAAATTTTGTGTCCTATTTTAACATTTAAAATTAAATTGCTACAGTTTGCACATTATTATAAATTTTTCTATCTCGCCATTTTAAATTATGCAGCAGCTTAGCATTTTTAAGTGATACTGTGTCATCACTCTAAATGTGTATTTTTGATTGGAGGGATTGGTAGTTAATTTGATGTTGAGTACTTTAATTTTAGGAAATGGAATCATACAGAAAATGTTTGCTGAACCCTGAGCTAGAGGTGCAGCTTGACTGTTGTTCCTGTCCCTTTGTATTTCATATCCACTTTGGTCCTTCCTGCCTTAATATCTGATCAGTTACCAAAGACCTACTTTTTCTTTCTGATACTGAAATATTTTGAATACAGTCCCCACCTACATTTCTGCTTTTTCTGCCCTGGCACAGGCCCTTAGCATTTTTTGCCTGTACCACCACAATAGCATCCTTGCTCTTTTCCCTTTTCCCAGTCCATTTTCCTCCCTGCAGCCACAATGATTGCTCCAAAGAACACAAAAATGGGCTCAGGTCGTTCCCTTGCTTAGAAAGCTTCACTGTGTCCCTGTCACTTAGAAGGTAAATTCTTGGTCCTTCCTGATCAGGCCTCTGCTTAGCACATCAGCCTCAGCTCATGATCTGTCCTGCTTTCTCTTTCTTTCACTGTACTCTCCAGCAATATGGATTGCTCAAAGGTTTTCTTTCATTTTTGCTTCTTTGCCTTTGTCCTTGTCCTTTCGGACATCTTGGAATGTTGTTCCCTTCCTTCTCTTTCTGGTAAACACCTACTCAGTTTTTTGCTTTCTCAGGAAATTTGCCTTTCTCTACCACCCCAAGTGCCCCTTACCTGTGCCTCATCATATGCCATGCGTAATATGCCATGAGAAGGTTGTATTACCTGTACAAATGAATCTCTCTTCCCCATAGACTGAGAGATCCTTGAGTGGATGGTATTTTACTAAATTTTAATATTCCCACTGTCTAGCACTGTGTCTGACATATAGTAGGAAGCCCATAATCTTTTGTTGAATGATGAATAAATGTCCTTTGTGGTATGCATATTCAAGGTTAAATGTGAAGGTTTTTGTATTTGGTTGGTAGTAGTCATTCAAAAAACATGGACCATTTAATATTATTTTATGCAGTTAAGTTCTTTGTGATTACTTTTAAGCCTATATTAGATACACATAATTTTCCACATAAAACGTTCTTACTTGGGGTGATGGAAATTTTGTATGCCTCAATGTACCTCTCTCAGATTGTAGCGTCTTGTTGACATTTCCTGTCAGTAATTAATCCTAAATATGGATCTCTTCTAAGAAATATGGGAAGATTTTTTCATTTTTGTTATTTAAAGGAAATAGATTTATAGAAATATTTGATGTGAATAGATAGTGCTTTTGATACCTTACAGTGTTTATGAATCAGTCACCTGGGGATCTTATTGAAATATAGAGTCTGGTTCAGCAGATCTAGGGTGGCCTGAGATTCTGCATTTCTCACAAGCTCCATGCTGTTAGTTCACAGACCACACTTTGAGTGGCAAGGTGGTTGATGGTATTTTCCAGATTCTTCCTTTAGCACTTGATCAAAACAATTTTCAGTTTTTCTTTTATATGTCTAAATCATCATTTGTATTTTAATTTCATCTTTCATCTTTTTATTTTTATATTTTAGCAAGACATTGATAATGCTAATATGTCACCACAATCTCCAGTATCATCTGAGGTACCAGTTCTGTTTTTATATGTGTTTACATAGGTTACTTCCTTGTCTCTTCTCTCTAGTCTCATCATTCTTTTTCTTTCAAACAATATAATTTATTCACCCACTTAAAAAAATCCATAGGTTGGGGCGCCTGGGTGGCTCAGTTGGTTAAGCGACTGCCTTCGGCTCAGGTCATGATCCTGGAGTCCCGGGATCGAGTCCCGCATCGGGCTCCCTGCTCGGCAGGGAGTCTGCTTCTCCCTCTGACCCTCCCCCGTCTCATGCTCTCTCTCTCTATCTCATTCTCTCTCTCAAATAAATAAATAAAATCTTAAAAAAAAAAATCCACAGGTTAATTTGTACAAACCTAGCCTATAAAAAATTCTTTTTTTTTTTAGCCTATAAAAAATTCTAAGAACACCATCTTTTGTACAAATATTCATAATAATAATATCACCTGGATTACTTATTGGAAAATGCCTACAGAGCATAGAGAAGACTTCATTTTGTAAAATTCTTATGTTTTATAATTCATCTATATTTTGAAATAAATGATAAGAATAGCTTTGCCATTTTAAATTTGAAAGAAGTAATACTTCAGCATTGTGCAATGGCCTTTGGTTTTTCTCGTAACCAATTAGGTCTGAAAGCAATGCAAGAGAAACTTCCTTTTTCCACGAGAAACTTCCCTGTGGTGGGTTGTTCCTATCGACAGGAGGGTACACATTTCCTGGCATCTTAGACCTAAGGGGGAGCATGGGGAGAAAGGGTGGATGAAAGTTAGCATTTGTGATATCTCACCCAAATATTCTGGTGGCTTGAATGATTGATTCTTCTAATTTGTTAGACCCACTGCTTTAGAAAAAGAGATAAATTTAAAAAATTCGAAACAGTATCTTGTTCTACTTCAGATTACCTTATTTAGTATTCTAAAAGTGTGTTGGCATTAGTAAATAAATGATTATGTATTCACTTGGTGAATTCAGAAATTTCTTTAAATGTTTGGATCATCCATATTCATCATATAACTTTGGCTAATTACATAGATAGTATTTCATTTTATATAGGTGGTGTTAATTTTTTTTTAAAAGCCAGGATCATTTGTCTTTTGTTTTGGGTGAGTTGCATTATAAAACTTTTAAATGGATTTGGATATTAGTTTTATAAACATGTTTCTAAATTATTTATATGGCAAGTAAAATGGTTTGCATCCTTTTAGAAAGTAATTTAAATTAGGATATCCTAAAATTAGTCTTTATCACATGTTCTTGTTAATCTTCTCTTTTACTTTCAATTATAATAAATGTAAGCATATCAGTGACTAGTTCCCTAGTTGCGTTATGATTTTGTGATCTGTGCTCATGGAGAGACTATTAGTGCCAGTTTTCTCAAATAAATTATATTGCTTTTTTTGTTAAGATTTTATTATTATTTATTTGTCACAGAGAGAGAGATAGAGCACAAGCAGGGGGAGCAGGAGAGGGGGAAGCAGGCTCCCCGCTGAGCAGGGAGCCTGATGTGGGACTCGATCCCAAGATCCTGGGATCATGACCCGAGCTGAAGGCAGATGCTTAACCAACTGAGCCACCCAGGTGCCCCTATATTGCTTTTACAATACATTTTGCTTACATTTGGATAAGTGAAATTTTGGGGAATTCCTAACACTTTAACCAAAATAATGAAGACAGACTGTGAGCTTGTGGATGAATAGGGTGATGAACATGGGTTTTGGTGGCTCAACTAATATTCAACTTGAACTGTATAAAACATGTTAATCAACAGAAGATTTAGAGAATCCACAAAATTCTGATGACTTCCATTTCATCTGTGAAAGAAAATGGTGAAAACAATTAGTATAGTGCTATACTATTTTTTTGTTAAAATTAAAAAAAAAAAAATTCAAGTAGGCTCCATGCACAACGTAGGGCTTGAACTCAAGACCCTGAGATCGAGTCACATGCTCCACCCACTGAGCCAGCCAGGCACCCCTAGTATAGTACTATACTGTTTGTTTTTTAAGTCTGCTCCATGCCCAGTGTAGAATCCACTGCAGGTCCTCAACTCATGAGCTGAAATCAAGAGTCAGACACTTAACTGACTGAGCCACCCAGGCACTCCTAGTACTATACTGTTAACAAAGTGCTTGCCTATACACTTGAACCTAAAGTAGTCCCATGAGCTGGGTATTATCCTCATGATTCTATAACTAAAGAGATTGGTAACCTTTCCCAAAGACCCCAGTCAATAAATAGTAGACAAGTGACTGAAGCCCAGACTCTAGCTGCTTCACAGTTATTGCAAATATTAAAAAAGATACAGCTGAAATTACGTTTTCTTATCACTACAATTTCCAAAGTGCTGGGGCGTCTGGGCGGCTCAGTCGTTAAGCGTCTGCCTTTGGCTCAGGTCATGATCCCAGGGTCCTGGGATCGAGCCCCACGTCGGGCTCCCTGCTCTGCGGGAAGCCTGCTTCTCCTTCTCCCACTCCCCCTACTTGTGTTCCCCCTCTCACTGTGTCTCTCTGTCAAATAAATAAATAAAATCTTAAAAAAAAAATTTCCAAAGTGCTTTCTTTCAGTTATCTTAGTTAATCTTCACAACAAACACCCCATCTTAAATATGAAGAAATAGTCACAGAGAAATTAAATGTTTTTTTTTTTTAATTTTATTTATTTATTTGAGGTAGACAGAGAGAGCACGAGCAGGAGGGCAGAGGGAGAGGAGAAGCAGGATCCGCACTGAGCAGGGAGCCCATCGTGGGGCTTGATCCCAAGACCTTGATCATGACCTGAGCTGAAGGCAGATGCCTAACTGACTGAGCCACCCAGGAGCCCTGAGAAATTAAATGTTTGCTCAAAAGTTAGCCTAAGCTTTCTAACTCCAAGCTCAGATTTTTAAAATATACGTATTTTTTTCAAAGATTTTATTTATTTATTTGATAGAGACAGCGAGAGAAGGAACACAAGCAGGGGGAGTGGGAGAGGGAGAAGCAGGCTTCCTGTGGAGCAGGGAGCCCGATGTGGGGCTCAATCCCAGGACCTTGACATCATGACCTGAGCCGAAGGCAGAAGCTCAATGATTGAGCCACCCAGGCTCCCCTAAAATACACTATTTCTTTCCACAGCACACCACTGTGTGAAAGCACTTTGGAACAATGTATTCAAATAGAAGAGATGATAATTTATCATCTGTTAGTATCACCTGTCACCCCCTATTAGTATGAATGTGCAGGTTTGCCTCATTTATCTACTAAATGTCAAGTCCATAGTAGATACTGAGTGAATGTTGCTAATTTCACTTATTTTTTCACTGAAGCTTATTTCACTTTGTAGAGGCTTTGATCTGGTTGTTCATTCAAAAAAAATAACACCTATTTATTTATTTTTTAAAGATTTTATTTGCGAGAAAGAGGGAAAGAGAGTGAGAGAGAGTGAGAGAGTGCACAAGCAGGGGGAAGGGGCAGAGCGAGAGGCAGGCTCCCCTGCTGAGCAGGGAGCCGGATGTGGGGCTCCATCCCAGGACCCTGGGATCATGGTCCGAGCTGACGGCAGACACCTAACCGACTGAGCCACCCAGGTGCCCCCAGTACCTATTTATTTTATATAATTCATTAATTTTTATTTTTCCTTATACTATGAGAGAGAAGTATTTAAAAGCTTATGTAGTCAGATCAATTAGCAAATATTTGTAGACTTTTTTTTTTTGTAGACTTTTTAAAAGTGAAATGTATCAATTTGAATTGAAATGCCGTTTGCCTTTCTGTACTCCACTAATCATGGAAACAAATACTTCTAAAATTGGAATGGATATGAATGAACCTTGGTTATTTTGAAAGAAAAATGGTTTTATTTCTTTTCTTTTTTTTTTAGGAATATGATAGAACTGATGGTTTTTCACATGGTCCTTTTGGCTTGAAGCCTAGATCAGGTAAGTATATATTCTGCAAATAAAATTTTCTGGTTATATATGAAACTAGAGTTTTCCAGCTTAAGTGGGATTGATTCCATAGTTTTAAGTACACATAGATTCTTTCCCCTCTCCTAAAAGTAATTTTCTCTTAACCTTATTTGTCTTTCCAATTCCCATTCCCCATTTCTTTCTTCCTCTTTACCTTCAAGCTCCTGAAACCTCAGCTTTTTGCCTTAGATATACTGCAGTCTTATTTCTACTCTACTGTGACTGCTATTAGAATGACCACTCTGCCAGCAGACCAAACACTGTTTGAAATTATAGCACTCCATTATATTGTGGTTTTAAAAAGGGATCTTTTCGCATTTGGCAAGCCCAAAAGAAAATGGATCCATGTTACTTGGCAAGGTATTGAATTATAGTTTTTATTCCTGAATAACTGTATTGACCTTCAAGAATAATTTCCTTTTTCTTTAAAGATAATAAAGGCTGATTTATGTTCAATAATTTTTAACCTGGATCATAAGTTTCTAATAGCATATGTTTAAATAAGAACGTGTATAGGTGGTAGAAATCGTTACACTTGTCTTCCCTGTTGCTTTCAATTGTGCAGATAAGTAGATTTCAATTATATTCTATAAAAATATTTAGAATGTTTTAATAAGTAATAGTGTTTTATGTAGTTTGCACTGATTCTTTTTTATCATGCCTCTTTTCTCACCGCTGGATGAGTCTTCCTATTAGCCTTGTGATAAGCTAGGAAATTTCTGTTTTTATAGCTTTTAGCCGCTCAACTCGCCAGGAATATGGGGCTGCAGATCCAGGATTTACAATGAGAAGAAAGATGGAACATCTACGGGAAGAACGAGAGCAAATACGACAACTTCGCAATGTAAGTGAGTTTGACCTTACAGATTTGCTCTGTAGAAATGGGTTTAACTTGGAAAATTAGCAAGATATCTGAATTTTATTTGCAAAGCTTTTTAAAATTTTGGATTATAAATGATTAGTAATATAAATATGTAGCATATATATTTACACAGGATATCTGTGATTTATACCCATTTCTTTATAGAATCTCGAGTCCAGGTTAAAAGTAATTTTGCCTGATGACATTGGAGCTGCACTGATGGATGGGGTTGTTCTTTGCCATTTAGCCAATCACATAAGGCCACGCTCTGTAGCTAGTATTCACGTGCCATCACCAGCAGTGGTAAGTTTTGTCTAGAGTTTGTTAGTTCTCTAAAGGAAGATAGGGCTTCTTGAAACTGTCTTTAAATAATATACCTCTATAAATTTAATTTTTATACTGATAAATTTCTGTATAAATATGCCTGATAAATGCCTATTTCCTCTTACTTTACAGCCTAAACTGAGCATGGCAAAATGTCGAAGAAATGTAGAAAATTTTCTTGATGCTTGTAAAAAGTTGGGTGTATCACAGGTAACTGTTATTTCTTTTAACAAAATGATCATTTAAATATTAATTTATTGTGTGCATATTGGACTTCCTCTTCACAATCGGATGAATAATGCTTTCTGAACATGAAAATGAATACCTTCCCTTGGTACATTTTACTGAGTTCCAGCTTTAACCATAGCAGCTATCCAATGAATGTGTTTAAGCTGCTTTTAAAGTCATTTATAAAACAGCTACATATATGGAAAAATTCTATAATCATACATATCATTGAATAAACATGACATAGTGGCCATATTAAAACTTGATTGTAATGCAATTGCTACTTTCATTTTTCCTGCTGAAAGGCATTTGGACTCCTTTGTAAATCGATGGGTAGACTCTGATTAGACGATTTGCATTCAGTGTTAACTGCGTTTTATTTTTTAGATTTTTAAAATTTTTTAAAAAGATTTTATTTATTTACTTGAGATAGAGCGAGGAAGAGAACAAGCAGGGTGGAGGGGCAGAGGGAGAGGGAGAAGCAGGCTCTCTGCTGAGTAGGGAACCCAATGCGGGGCTCAATCCCAGGACCCTGGGATCATGACCTGAGCCGAAGGTAGATGCTTAACCAACTGAGCCATCTAAGTGCCCTTGTTAACTGCATTTTAAACTTTATTTAAAACGTCAAACTGGGGGGCTCCTGGGTGGCTCAGTTGTTAAGCGTCTGCCTTTGGCTCAGGTCGTGATCTCAGAGTCCTGGGATCAAGCCCCTCATTGGGCTCCCTGCTTGGTGGGAAGCCTGCTTCCCCCTTTCCCACTCCCCCTGCTTGTGTTCCCTCTCTCCCTGTGTCTCCATCAAATAAATAAATAAGATCTTTAAAAAAAATAAAATAAAATGTCAAATTGGAAATCTTAGTAACATATGATATGTCATGGGACAAACTGTCTGAAATTTGTAGGAATTGGCTTATGTTTCACATAATAGTTGCACTTCTATAAAATTAACAATTAAAGCAGTATTGTAAATGTATAATGAAAACGAATTATTAAAATACTACCTTTTTAGAAAACATTTTAGGCCTAACATCAAGATGATTGACTGTTGGGAGGTCATGGTGTTGTTAGCAGATCACAATATAGTTATGCTTTTTTCCCTTTTTTTATTTTTAAAAATTTATTCTTATTGAGATATGATTGACACATAATGTGTAACTTTGTTGTACACAAAGTTGTGTTGATTTGATGCTTTATATCTTGAGTTGTGCTTGGTTAGCTCTTTTTACCTGTGTCATCATAATCTGGCCTACAGATTCCACTTTGACCTCTTTCCTCAAGTGAATAAATATAATTTATTTAGAGAGAATCAGTTGAATTACAGTGTAATTTGGAAGCTACATGCTCTTCTCCTCTGATTACATGTCTGTGCTTCACATGATATTTTAGTGTATTTTTTAAAAGATTTTATTCATTATTTATTTGAAAGAGAGCAGGAGAGAGAGTGAGCAGGGGGGAGGAGCAGAAGGAGAGGGAGAAGCTGGCTCCCCACTGAGCAGGGAAGGGAGCCCAATGCGACTCCATCCCAGGACCCTGGATCGGCTCCATCCCAGGACCCTGGATCGTGACCTGAGCTGAAGGCAGCCGACCAACCGACTGAGACACTCAGGCGCCTCTGACATGATGTTTTAAAAATTGAATTCTTGGGGCGCCTGGGTGGCTCAGTCGTTAAGCGTCTGCCTTCAGCTCAGGTCATGATCCCAGGGTCCTGGGATCGAGCCCCCACATCAGGCTCCCTGCTCAGTGGGAAGCCTGCTTCTCCCTACCCCAGTTGTGTTCCCCTCTCTGTCGAATAAATAAATAAAATCTTAAAAAAAAGGATAAAAATTGAATTTTTTTTTATGAAAAAGATTTTTTTTAAAGATTTTATTTATTTGTCAGAGAGAGGGAGCGAGCGCACAAGCAGAGGGAGAAGCATACCCCCCGCTGAGCAGGGAGCCGGATGTGGGACACAATCCCAGTACCCTGGGATCATGACCTGAGCTGAAGGCCGATGCTTAACCAACTGAACCACTCAGGCATCCCTAAAAAATTTGATTCTTAAACATTTTTATATTCTTTCTTTTTGTACTCAGTCTCTTATTGAGAAAACAAAAATTAGGAAGGTTTGTTTTCTAGTTGTGATTGTATTATATACATTTTTCTGTTTTACCATTTTTAAGATTTTTTAGGGGGCATTCTCAATAAACATTGAATGAATGCACATTTTACAAATGAGGAAACTGAGTCACAGGGAAGTTAGGGAACTTGTCCAAGATCACACCTTTAATAACCAGTGGAGCCAAGCTGTGAATCCAGGTGGTCTGACTTCAGAACTTACCTCTAATGTGGATATTCTCTATTTCTGTTCATTTACATGAAAGAAAAGACATTGCAAAATACTCCAGATATCTTCTTGGTACAGTAGGCAAGGGTGATTAGTTAGGAAGTTCTTATGAAAACTATTCTACTTAGCATACTCTAATCTCTCTTTAGTTTGTTTTAGGGAAGGGCTAGTGCCCCACCCAAGTTTACTGTAAGAGGGACTATGGAAGGACCAGTTATGAACTCTCTTTTTGAAAATTCTCCAGCTACTGGCAGTTGAGGGAAGAGTTTAATAGTTAGCTTCAATTTGTTTCCCTGACTTAGAGTCAGTTTTTTCATTTAGGTTTTTTTCATTTTGAGATTTTTTAAATTTTTATTTTTAATAGCTTTTTTGAGGTATAATTGACATATACATATAGATAAGGTGTACAATTTGGCAAGTTTTGGCATGCAATTATAGCATGAAATCATCAACATAGTCAAGATAATGAACTTATTCATTACCCCCAAAACTTCCCTTCTATCCCTTTGCAATCTTTTCTTTCCCGGTAACCACTAATCTGCTTTCTGTTATTATAGTTTAGTTTGCATTTTCTATCTAGAATTGTATATAAATGGAATGATAGAATACGTATGATTATTTTCTGGCTTTTTTCACTCAGTATAATTGTTTTTAAGACTCATCAGTGTTGTTGCATGTATAAATATGTCATTCCGTTTTATTGCTGAGTAGTATTTCATTGTATGAATATACGACAGTTTGTTGGTCCATTGACCTGTTGATAGCCATTTGGATTGTTTCCAGTATTAGGGGACCACTTGGACAAATAAGACAGCTATGAACATTTATATGGAAGTGTTCAGATACATACATTCTTTAATTTGGGGTAGATATCCGGGAGTGGAATGACTGGAACATATGGTAGGTGTGTACTTAACATTATAAGAAAGTACAAAACTGTTTCCCAAAGTGGTTGTACCATTTTATATTCCTATCACCAGTGTATGAAAGTTTTAGTTCCTCTACATTCTCAACCAGCATTTAATATAGTCAGTGTTGTTTTTTTCTTTTTTAATTTTTGCCTTTCTAATAGGTATGTACTGGTTTGTTAGTGTGGTTTTAATTTGCATTTCCTTGAAGACTAATGATGTTGATCATCTTTTCAAGAGCTTATTTGCCATTTGTATGACTTTTATGACGTGTTTAATCTTTTGTCTTTTTTAATTGGGTTGTTTTCTTGTCATTGAGTTTGAGAATTTCTCTACAAAGAGTGGACAAAGTCCTTTATCAAATGTGTGAATTACAAATATTGTAGCATAAGTCTTTGGCTTGTCTTTTCATTCTCATTATAGTATCTTTCAAACAGCAGAAGTTTTATATTTTTTGAAGTAAAATTTATCATTTTAAAAAATTCATGTGCCCTCCTTAATACCCATCCCCCTGTCCACCTCCTCTCCAGTAACCCTTAGTGTGTTCTCTATAGTTAAGAGTCTCTTTTATGTTTTGTCTCTTTTTTCCCCTTTGTCCATCTGTTGTTTTTTAAATTCCATATATGAGCGAAATCATATGGTATTTGTCTTTCTATGACTGACTTGTTTTGCTTACCATAATACTCCCTAGCTCCATCTATGTCCTTGCAAATGGCAAGATTTCATTCTTTTCTATGGCTGAGTAGTATTCCATTGTGTATACCACTTTTTAATCCATTCATCAGTGAATGGACATTTGGGCTCTGTCCGTAATTTGACTATTGCTGATAATGCTGCTGTAAACATCGGGGTGTATGTATCCCTTCAAATCAGTATTTTTGTATCCTTTGGGTAAATACCTAGTAGTGTAATTGCTGGATTGTAGGATAGTACTGTTTTTAACATTTTTTTTTATTTTTAACGTTTTGAGGAATCTCCATACTGTTTTCCAGAGTGGCTGCACCAGTTTGCTTTCCCACCAACAGTATAAGAGGGTTCCCTCTTTTCCGCATCCTCACCAATATCTGTTGTTTCCTGTGTTGTTAATTTTAACCATTCTGACAGGTGTGAGGTCATATCTCATTGTGGTTTTGATTTGTATTTCCTTAACGATGAGTGATGTTGAGCATCTTTTCATGTGTCTACTAGCCATCTATCTCGATGTCTTCTTTGGAGAAATGTCTACTCATGTCTTCCCATTTTTTAACTGGATTCTTTTTTGGGTAAGTTTTATAAGTTCTTTATAGATTTTGGATACTAACCTTTTATCAGATATGTCATTTGCAAATATCTTCTCCCATTCTGAAGTCTGCCTTTTGCTTTTGTTGATTATTTCCTTTCTTCATCTAATGTTACAGTCTTTGGTTTAAAACCTAGTCTTTCTGATAGAAGTATTGCTACTCCTGCTTTCTTTTTGGCACCAAACTTCTGCTGTTTGTAGAAGCTTTTTTTCTTGATGAAGTCCCAATAGCTTATTTTTGCTTTTGTTTCCCTTGCCTCAGGACACATATCTGGTAAGAAATTGCTACACCCAATGTCAAAGAGGTTACTGCCTGTGTTCTCTAGGATTTTGATGGTTTCCTGTCTCACATTTAGGTCTTTATTACATTTTGAATTTCTTTTTTTTGTGTGTTTGGTGTAAGAACATAGTCAAATTTCATTCCTTCGCATGTTGCAGTCCAGTTTTCACAACACCATTTATTGAAGAGATTGTC